GTACCGCATTTGCACGGTGAAGACCTTAAAAATATAATTTAACTTATTTGTTGTTTAGACAGCATTAATTCCATCTAAATCTTAATAGATTTAATGTCATTTATGCTAAGTAACAGAAGCGGTTAAATGCAACGCCGGAAATCCCACCAACTCCGTATAGCTTGGACTTAGACATTAGGAAATATGTACAGTTGCGTCGCAGACTGAGGTGAAAAATCTAAATGCGACATATCTGAGTACGTTCATGAGAACTGACCGAGCGATCACATACACGCATCAAGGACAAATAGCTTAATGATCCTGGTCATCATATTGTACAAATGAGTCCTCTCCAAACTTGATTGAATTTGTTTACTTATATTTGATTTCAAATGAGATATTTCATCATGAAAAAATAAATCATAATAATTATATCAATGATGACGATGATGATTATTTTGTTGTTATTGGATGGTGATGATGATGATGATGATGTTGATGATGATCATGATGTTGTTGTTGTTATTGTTGATGATGATGATGATGATGATAATGATGATGATGATGATGACGACGACGACGAAGACGACGACGCCGACGACGATGATGATGATGATGATAACGATGATGATAATCATACTGATGATAATGATGATTATTATTATGATGATGATGATGATGATGATGATGACGACAACTAGTGTCTAATGTTTTACTTGTTCTTTCTACTCGAGGTAGGGTTATTTCTATTCCCGATGGCTGTGTAGTACGGATAGAGTTGGTTGTCAATGTTATTCCTGAAAATAAAAAAAAATCTACATGTGCATCCACTTAAATCAGGGAATAATTTTAAGTTCCCTCAGCTGACATAAAAAATGTTTAACTTAGTTAAGCGATTTGGCATTAAGTCGTACTTGGTGATAATATTATGCCTATTTAGTTATTGTCAATTTAAATAGTGAATTTCAAGTTAAAATCCGGAAACTAATGTTAAAGGTGTAAGGTATTGATGAAAATAGCACAAGGTATTGAATTTCTTGAAAATAATTATTAAAAGAACTCCAAAAGGGCCATAGAAATTGAAGGTTGAATGTTACAGCATGGCCTTAACAATATAACGCCTTTCGAGTTCCATGGACATTTGATAGAAGTCTTTGAGTTAAACTTTGAAAAGATTAAAACGACATTTTAACTGAAATCAAGGGGCCAACTAGAATGGATACCGTAAGCATGTCCATTAGAAATTACCATGAAATCATGCATATTTTAAATGAACATAAAAAGGTTTTATTTTTCCTAGTTACTAAAGCACAAAAGTCTTAAAAATTGTTTCGTTGAACGGTTTTCAGCGTTCAACTTAAATACCCTATATCTTTAAAAGAAAAGTATTTTTGAAGGTATGGTTTGGAATATGTAATGACAAAATATTGACGTTTACAAATCGTATCTTAAAATGATTTATTATTATGAGAAAACGTATTTTTGTGACTTTTTTTAAAGAAAAATGCCGCATCTAATCGGAAAGTATGGTTATTTTCAATCAAAATTCACGAAAAGAAAAACTTGCACAGACAATTTGTTAGCATGCTCCTTTAGATCCATGTTAAAAATAGATAAATACTTATCGTCCGTCAATTATATTTTTATACCGACATGTTTATAATAGTACGGCTGTCGACGCGTTGAACGGTTTTCTACTCATTTGATTGTACGGTCTGCGATAATGTTTAATTTACGGGCTTGCAATAAATATATAAACTTACCCATATCACACCAGCACTATCCCGGTATCCGAGCAAATATTCCACGCACTGTAGTTTCCACACAACGGAAAACCGTAAATATTGAATTCTACAAAAATAATCTGACAATCCGTCGTAATGCTCATATTTAAATTAGTCACGTGACGCTTAAGGGAATAAATAGGTAATAGAGAGTAACAACAATAATAACATATGTCTCCGTGATGTACATTATTAAAGACAGATGATCATGTGACTTACATCTTTAATCTAAAAATGGAATTAGGTAGAAAATGTACATATATGTAAATCTGATATTAAAAAGACTGAAAATTTGTCCCTATGGAATTGGCATCAAAACGACCGTCTAATGCTGACTTAATGGTAAATTGTCATAAAATAAGCTAACAAGTAGTCACAGAAGAGTGGGAAAAAATATTTCCCTCGCTTGATTCATTGATTGGAAAAAGACTAAGTACGTTTGCGATTTTGAGAAGAATGAAGCTATTTCAATGGCCAAAACGTAAAAACAAATGCGAAGATCATTTAAATTGTAGAAATAGTAGACAGTTCTAAATACAATAATGTATTGGTCAAAATAATTATTGACGGTCACAAGTTAGACATAAGATAATCAATTAACTGATGAAACTATTTAATTGTTGTTGAAAGCATTGATGAGGCCCGACCAGGGCGGGCTGCGAAAAATGTTATACTCTATTTTATGGTGGCTGATTTGATACGTTTTTGTGCGTCGCGTTGGCTCTATCGACAACACGACAAAGAGCCAAACGGCGCGTTGTCGCGCTGTCGTCTTGTCGTCCTGTCTCTAGCGCGGTACGCCAAACGGCGTGTTGTCATGTGGCGTGTTGTCGCGATGTCACATTGTCGCTCGGTTCAAATTGAAGGGTTGGCTTATAAGCCAAGCGACAGGACGACATCGCGACAACGCGTCGCACGACAACGCGCCGTTTGGCGTGCCGCGCTAGAGACAGGACGACAAGACTACAGCGCGACAACGCGCTATTTGGCGCTTTGTCTTGTTGTCGCTAGCGCCAACTAGACGCACAAAAGCGAACCAACTCAGCCACCATACTATTTGAGAAAATGAATTTTGCGGCAAATTTCATTAAAAATGATATTGAATTTGATAATGTACTAAGTAAGAGCGTATCAAGGGAAATAGTGAAAAGATTTCCTCTTTTCAAAGGAAAAAAACAGGTTGGAAACCATATATAACCAGAGATATTCATATTAAACGAAGCCTTTTAATGTATTTTAAGATATCATCGAGCGGTGCTTGATTTTACAGAAATCATTAATTTTCAGCGTTTTTTTTTTATCTAAGCGTTATCACATCGCACGATGTCATCGTATATGCAGCTCAGCAGCTAAAAGTAATCAGATATTTTCAATTTTCTGAAGCTGCGTTCAATAGACTAATTAAGATACACTATTTCTATCTTAGTATAGGAAGTGTGACAGAAAAAAATATAATCAAATGAAATATTTGAAATTACAGAAGAGATATTCACGTGGCCGTCAACTATTGCTCAAAATTAAAGTAGCATGCCTCAAGATTCATGCTTATTTTCATGAAATTTTTGAAAATGTATCTAAAAGTAAAATTATTGTGAAGTGAACATAGAAAAGAATTTACACTCTGCAAACGGCATTTAAAATCACGTAAATTACCAAAAAGAGATAAAAAATGAAAAATAGCCCTTACTGCGTTAGTCTCGCAGTAGAAATATGGTGTTACATACTGGAAAATCTCTGCGCAGGTCATACTGTAAAATGTATTTTACATTGGGGATTATAATCGTTCTTCATAACAAAATGATGTGTTCATTGAATGCCTTCCTTCCTCTCATATTTTAAACCTGCATATCACAGACGTCAAAAGACTAATTTTAAAAATACAGAATTTAAGTAGGAATTATAGAACCATACAAGTTTAAAAGGGAAGCTAAAAACCTCAAGTTATTTTCATTGCAGACACCAAACAATAAATATGATTAAACTAAAATCGTTTTAGTGTTTAATTACGTATTATTCTAATGAATTAGGTTTAGAAGTAAGCATTACGCCCGCTTTTAACATATAGTTCTCGACGAATATAGCTCTCCGGGACCTTAATCATCATCATCAAAACCTTCTCTTTATTTGGTTCGGGTTCACGTCGAACCAACACAGTAAATTTTACATGGCGCCTTTCATACTTGACTGGTAGAAGGGAAATAATAATTTACAACGCTTCTATATATATAATCGTTATCATCAAAATCATTATCATCATCATACAAAACATCATCACGTCGATCATATTCCTCATCACCTCGATAATAACCATCATCACCTAGATCATAATCCTCATCACCTAGATCATAATCATCATCACCTAGATCATAATCCTCATCACCTTGATCATAATCAATCATCACCTCGATCATAATCCTCATCCACCTAGATCATAATCCTCATCACCTTGATCATAAATCCTCATCACCTTGATCATAATCCTCATCACCTCGATCATAATCCTCATCACCTAGATCATAATCCATCATCACCTAGATCATAATCCTCATCACCTAGATCATAATCCTCATCACCTCGATCATAATCATCATCACCTCGATCATAATCCTCATCATCTAGATCATAATCCTCATCACCTCGATCATAATCATCATCACCTCGATCATAATCATCATCACCTCGATCATAATCCTCATCACCTCGATCATAATCCTCAATCACCTTAAACATAATCACATCACCTTGATCATAATCCTCATCACCTTGAACATAATCCTCAATCACCTCGATCATAATCATCATCACCCTCGATCATAATCCTCACCAGCTTGATCAATCATAATCATCATCACCTCGATCATAATCCTCACCACCTTGATCATAATCCTCATCACCTCGATCATAATCCTCACCACCTTGATCATAATCCTCATCACCTCGATCATAATCCTCACCACCTTTGATCATAATCCTCATCACATTGATCATAGTCCTCATCACCTCGATCATAATCCTCACCACCTTGATCATAATCATCATCACCTCGATCATAATCCTCATCACCTCGATCATAATCCCTCATCACCTTGATCATAATCCTCATCACCTCGATCATAATCCTCATCACCTTGATCATAATCATCATCACCTCGATCATAATCATCATCACCTTGATCATAATCATCATCACCTCGATCATAATCATCATCACCTTGATCATAACCATCATCACCTTGATCATAAAACATCATCACCTCGATCATAATCCTCATCACCTCTATCATAATCATCATTACCCTGATCATAATCCTCATCACCTTGATCATAATCATCATCACCTTGATCATAACCATCATCACCTTGATCATAATCATCATCACCTCGATCATAATCATCATCACCTCGATCATAATCATTATTACGTCGATCATAATCCTCATCAACTCGAACATAATCCTCATTATCTCGATCATAATCATCATCACCTCGATCATAATCGTCATCAACTCCAACATAATCCTCATTACCTCGATTATCATCATCATCACCTCGGTCATAATCATCATCACCTAGATCATAATCCTCATCACCTCGATCATAATCCTCATCACCTCGATCATAATCCTCATCACCTAGATCATAATCCTCATCACCTCGATCATGAATCATCTCACCTAGATCATAATCATCATCACCCCCGCCTCGATCATAATCCTCATCACCCGATCATCATCATCACCTAGATTCCTCATCACCTAGATCATAATCCTCATCACCTCGATCATAATCCTCATCACCTCGATCATAATCATCATCACCTCGATCATAATCCTCAATCACCTCGATCATAATCATCATCACCTCGATTATAATCATCATCACCTCGATCATAAGCATCATCACCGTCGATCATAATCCTTCAATCCTCATTACCTCGATCATAATACATCATCACCTCGATCATAATCCTCATCACCTCGATTTCATAATCCTCATCACCTCGACCATAATCATCATCACCTCGATCATAATCATCATCACCTCGATATAATCCTCATCACCTCGATCAATAATCATCAATCACCTCGATCATAATCATCATTACCTTGATCATAATCATCATCACCTCGATCATAATCATCAACCTCGATCATCCTATTACCTCGATTATAATCATCATCACCTCGATCATAATCATCATCACCTCGATCATAATCATCATCACCTCGATCATAATCATCATCACCTCGATCATAATCATCAATCACCTCGATCATAATTCTCATCGAGTTAATTATAATTATAGTTATAATTAGTCATCATCAACTCCATCATAATCAGCAAAATTTATTATCATCACCTTCTTCGTTAAAATCATCACTACAATCATCTTCACATGCATCATTATTACATAAATCACCTGTATATTTGCTTGTATTTTTATCATCACATGCATCAACTCCGTCATCATCATCATCATCATCAAATCATTATCATCTTTTTTCATGATTAGGCTGATGATGTTGATGATCATGTACACGTTATGACAATGATGTAAATATATTAACTAATGTTGATGCTGCTGAACATGATGATGTACTGATCGTATATACTGATGTACATGCAATGGAAGATACGAACATGTACATTTGTTGTTTTTTTCTTGTTAAGTCAGTTGTTTAGATCTATATGTAAACTTGTTATTTAAAAGCGAGAACCTCCGAGTTAAAGACTGGATTTAGAGGCATATTATTGAAATACACAGATAAGTCAAAAATGCTAGGTATACACGTTTGCAATTTCAAAAGTTATCTTCGAAAGGAACACTTTACATGTCTGGAATTTTGGCAACGAACGCCCTCCATACCTACTAGAGTAGAATGCAAAGTGTCACGTGTATAGAATTATTTACTTTTTTAAACATTTCATATATTTTATTTTTATTTTTTGCAAAGAAGTTATCTCTTCAGTAAGCGTGTATCTTTATATTAAAAATAGAACAATAGATTTTTTTTCTTTTCTCCAAAAAATATGCATGTATATGGATAATCGGCCAAATACAAAAAAAATGTATTTGCCCTATAAACAGCAAAAATGTATTTGCCCTATAAAGCGCGTCAAAAGCATTGAAATTTAATAACCGTAAATTGTCCCAATTTGTATGCATTTATGCATGTAGTATAAAGTAGTACAATCTCCTGGTGCAGTATATTTGCATGACTTAAAGGGACTCCACCGAGGTTTAAAACTTTAATAAAAATAACATTTGAATTTATTACATAAACTAACTGGGGGCACATTAAACAGAAATATATGCAAAGATAGTTAAGAAATATACTTTGAAATAAATTGAAATTCGTGTTTTTATTCATTTCTTAGCAAAGCGTTTTTCATTTTGGGCCATTTTTTACAATTTGAATAATTATTCTGAAAAAAAAAACGAAAAGCGCGAATGATCTTAAATTTTGCACAAAGATTAGTGGTATTAACGTACATCAAATGGTACATTTATCTGGAACAAATATTTTCAGTCCCATCATGTCAAAAAACCTCAGTGGCGTCCCTTTTAAGTGAATTGGTCTGTTATGGAAGGTCTGTAACACAGTAAATAATTACGTTGATAATGTTTTGTATCATAATTACAAACAACGAAAGAATTATATATGGCTGTTGTTGGCAAGTGTGAGATACATGATCTGATATTATATATATTTATAAAGTAGATAATATAATGTTCTAGAAACAAATATCATTATTCATCTTATAAATGTTTAAACTAAATCAAACATTCCTCTTTCAATAGTTGATAAGAATATCAAAATGATACATTTCTATTGTTTTTATCATCATTTGAAATACTTATGGATATTTGCCCATTGTAGACCAATCCACTTTAACTGGTGCACGAGCGCGAATAACTTACTTTTATGTAAAATATGTAATAATTAACATATTTAAGCTTTGGTCTTTTGATAAATTTTGATAAAATGAATTTTCCGTATTTCTAATATTGTGTCATGTTATATAGTGTAAATTGACATTTAAATCATACGCGGGTGAATGCGTGTTTTCTTGCGTGCCTATTGACAATAGCAAGGTCAGTTGCAACTTGTCGGCCTTTTCCGCAAAACTTTGGATAAGAACTAATCGTCGACGTGGTCCTAAATAAAATTGATATATTTACTTTCCGACTATAATTCTTGAAGTTAAAATCGTGAATTCATGAAGTTGAAATCGTGAATTCATGAAGTTGAAATCGTTAAATCGTGAATTCATGAAATTGAAATAGTAAATTCGTGAAGTTGAAATCTTGAATTCATTAAGTTGAAATCGTGAATTCATGAAATTGAAAGCATGAACTCATGAAGTTGAAATCGTGAATTCATTAAGTTGAAATCGTGAATTCATTAAGTTGAAATCTTGAATTCATGAAGTTGAAATCTTGAATTCATTAACTTGAAATCGTGAATTCATTAAATTGTAATCATGAATTCGTGAAGTTAAAATGAAATCGGGAATTCATGAAGTTGAAATGTCCCCACCGGTCTTAGTCGAATATGCAAATGAATTGTAACAATAGCAATAGGACACACGAAAAAATTACTTATAAAAAGAATATAATTATGTAGCTTTAAAAAAGTTGTCAATAAGTATATGCAAGTTATTTTTTAGCAGTATCTTCCATATTCAAGGCAGGTAATTCAAACAAAAGTTCCGTACTATACCATACGGAGTTACTCATATATGAGGAAACTGCTAGAGGGAGTATAAAGCCTTCAATTAAGTTTTCTTGATCCAAATATTGATGACACAGAAGAAAACACCCTCTCCTGTGACAAATAGTATTAAATAAGTAATAATATTATGGTAACTGTCGAACAAAAACGAGAGCGTCTTTTTTGCTGGTTTCCTAGTGACTTTATATTTGACTTAATGTCTTACTGAGATAGGATTGTAAAATCGCGAAGGTACGAGTGGATACACGATGACAAAGTCATGATGGAGAGATTATTTTATCGCAATACAATACTGAAATTGCGACGGTAAGATGGTGAAACTCCAATGGTACAATGGTGCCATGCTGAAACCACGACAGGTCCGGTGATGAAATCGCAAAGGTACGATGATAAAACCTGCATGGTTCGTCGGCTAAATCGCGGTAGTACGCTAGTGAGACCACGAAGGTCGGATGATGAAACGTCGATGATAAGATGGTGAAATCGCGTCTCGCGAAGATAAGATAGTGAAATCGCGACTCGCGATGGTAAGATAGCTTAATCGCAATTTTATGGTGATGGAATCGTGATACAATGTAGTACTATGGGAAAACAGCTTTCGTTCGTCCACGACGTGATCCGATACTGCAAATGATATTGTCTATGGTGAAACTGCAAGTGTTCGAGGAGGAATGACAAAAGAACATGTTGAAATCGCAATATTACATCGCGTATTTTCAATACCTCAGCATCGTATCATTATCGTGAACTGTAACTGGTATTTCATGAGGGTTGAATCACGATTGTCCAAACAGAAAAACGTAGTTCGTCTATGAATTATATATTTTTTGAAATGGGGTCACAGTTGTTATAATCGGTTGACATTATTTTTGTTTTGTGTATAAATAATGTAGACAGAATATCTTTAGTCAATAGTAACTACGGATTGTACTGATAAAGTTGTCACACTTTTAAGGCGTTTGATACCGTCCCAAATTTCGCCTATGATTCTTTTTTTTGATAAATTTTAAAAAATGGGAAATTTTGGCGTTTATAAAAAATTTTCCCTTATAAAAAAGTGAGGGAAAAGGGGAGATGATGCGTTTGGGAATTTTTTTAAATTTTTAAATTCTATTTTTCAGACTGCCTATTATAAAAAAGGGCTGAACCCCCTTTGAATTTTTATTTTTTCCCTTGAATTGAATGAACGTGAACGACAGCATGGATGTGACAGCTTTGAAGTGACAGCACGGATGTGAAAGCATGAATATGACAGCACGGATGTGAAGGCATGGATATGACAGCTCGGATGTGAAAACATGGATATGGCAACACGGATGCGACAGCTCGGATGTGACAGTTCGGATAAGACAGCATGGGTGTGACAGCCCATATTTGACAGCTAGGGTGTGACAGCGCGGATTTGACAGCATGATTTGACAGCACGGATGCGACATCTCGTATGTGACAGCATGGATGTGACAGCACGGGTGTGACAACACGGATATGACAGCTCAGGTGTGACAGCACGGATGTGACAGCTCAGGTGTGACAGCAAGGATGTGACAGCTTAGGTGTGACATCACGGATGTGACAGCTCAGGTGTGACAGCACGGATGTGACAGCATGTATGTGACAGCACAGATGTGACCACACGGATACGACAGCACGGATATGGCTCTACTCTATACTGGCGACAAATGCTTTTCACAATCAGTTCAAGCTAGGTTAACATCTACCTTAAGAATGTCAACGATTTTATAACCTTTTTTATTTTTGTTTTTGGTTGCAATGACATAGAAAATATAAAATGGTGAAGTTGTGCATAGTGCTACTCTTCGTTTTAGATTTTGTAAACGGTAGGTGAACTGCTCATTTTTTCTCCCGTATTTTTATGCATTCACGAACCGCGATTTTTCTTTTCTTTTTCTTTTTTGCCAGATTATCATGAATATTAATATTTTGTTCACGCATGAGAAAAATAGAAAGCGGTGTTTTCATTTTGTATTCTGATTTTCATGCATCAAAGCGGTCGGTCTTTGCTTCCACACAGAAAATAAAATGTCATATAGATTGTTACTGATTTTTTTCTTCTAGATTATGATATTTCAGTATTACTGCATATAAAAACATTTAATTCGAAAGACATTTTCTTCTTAAGGAAATATACAAATATATAAACACATTTCTTCCTCGTGGGATTTTTTGAATTGTTCTCTTATTTTTTTTTTCAATATTCAACAAATATTTTGTAAACTGCAGTCCGAAAAGATACATCTAAATACCCAATAAATTTTACACGATTTCATTATAGGCCAGGGCAAAGATCCTTGCCTGACTGCAACTTTGATAAACGACGCCAGAAGACATGTTGATTACAACCAAACTTCCGACTTATGTGATCGTCTGCTGCAGCCCGGGTTTTACCGTTTCCAGAACGCGGAAATCCCCTTCAGTGACTCGTGCATTGACGACTACCACTGTGGAACCCATAAGCCTGTCTGGATTCAAGGAAACAATTATCCGAAGGTAAGTTCAAATGTCCCTGGCCATACCACGTGGAATGTGGCGTCATTTACCGCATTATTATCGTAAAACTGTATCACATTTGCAATTTACTATGATAAACCATTATTCCTTTTCATTTCTAAGCGTGTATAAGCGTGCATAACATCCAACTGCCATAATTGTTTAAGAACATATGGGCATGCTTGTTTGTTGGGTTAACGCACGTTTTTCCGTGTTATAACGTCTGCAGAGTCCCGAGGAGCGTTACCGGGCTCGGGCTCCAACAGTTCCGAGGGACTCTGCAGACTTCATAACACGAAATAAACGTTCGTTGACTCTATAATAGCATGAAATTTTAAAACAGATCCATGATGTATATTTAATACAAAACACATACATTAATTCCTTGTGCTTGGACGGTATTTTTCCAATTATACATGTTTTACGCATGTGTTTTATTTTTCCGGGGCCAACAACTTGGGAAATACAAATGCTCAGAACCGAACGAAATTTCGAATTTTAATTGATTTAACCAAGCTTAACATTGGAGATTTATTTACGTAAGAAAAAAAAACTTAATTTAATCTACCGAAGACAAAACATGACCTTCAGAATTCCTAGAATGATTTCAGAGTGACGGTAGGGCATCAGAAACGTTTGTTGTTTTTTTTCAAGCACACAAGTTTATAAAAAAAAGGCATTATTCTCTCAAAGAATTATAAAGAGCATTTATCAATATAAACATCAATAAAACAACATTTTCTTATATTCATTTTGTGTAATCTTGTTTTGTAAGTTAATCGGAGGGTTAAAGTGAATGACAGATATTTGTTTACATTGACAACTGTCCGTTGCTTATATATATAAAGGGCGACAACCAAGATTAGCGGCGACGTCTATACGCCGTATTTCCGGAATAGTTACTTGAATGCTGCTCGCCGTTATGCAATAGGGGCCCTCGAATCAAAAATTTCAATAAAACAAGAGCACATGACTCTTTGGCAAACAGGCAAAATCGTCAATTTTTTAGTTTGTTTACTGGGATCTGTATCTATTGCGCATAGGTAGTACCGGGCTATAACAAGAGCGCATGACTATGTTAACACATGGTTTTGGTCCCGTTATAACATGGGCAAAAGAGCCGATTTTATGCTATGATAAGTATTTACTGTCATGTTTAAAGACCATCCCAACATACTTTAAAAAACATACTCAAACGCAATTATTTTTAAAGAAACATGACGATGTTTGTTTAAAATCAAACGTTATCTTTGTTTAAGAACCAACATTCATGTTTGTTTGAAATCAAACATCATGCTTGTTCAAGTACTGACCGTCATATTTGTTTAAAATCAATCGTTATACTTGTTATAGAACCCCCGCCATCTTTGTTAAAGAATCAACGGACATTCTAGTGTCAGAGCCATTTAAAAACAAACCGTCAGGCATATTGTTGATCCAACTGCGATGATTGTTTAAAAACAAACTAGACATCAACAAACAAATCTTCATTATTTCGTAATTTTGGTGTAAAATGCACATTCGTAAATATGTTAGCGTCTCGACATCACTTTTTGCAAATGGCGTTAGGGTTGAAAGGGAGGTTACTGTTTTTCAATAGCAATTATTATTTCGCCTGGTCGCCATTTTGTGACTTATTCCCTTCAAATTAGATACAATTGTTATAAAAACCAATATATTATATGCTTAAAAATCTCTCATATGACTATTTTCAATAATTCCAGGTAAGCGATGGACTACAGGCGCGGAATATATGCGTAAACGTAGTTGCCAACGATAACAACTGCTGTGACTACAGTAAAGAAATAGCTGTTAAAAATTGCGGATCCTACTATGTTTATTATTTGCGGCCCACACCCGGATGTTCCATGGCATATTGCACAGGTATCTTTTTCTCTTACAGCAGGTTTAACGCCACTAAATATAATATTTGTCATACGAGCATAATTGCCGACAGCGCTTTAATTGTCCAAGTATGCTTCTTTAAAAGAAGCATGCGAGAGGTCTTTTTGAAGCTGTGCTGTGGAGATATTTTTTTCATAAAATGCACAATGAATGTTTATTAATTACAATTACTTAACAAAATAGAATTTTATTACATATATTGAATATAGTGTCTATATATAGTATAGTATCTATGGTACAAGAGAGAACTAACGACAAACCACTAAGCTATTTGATTGTATACGCGGGAGATATGCAAGTCAGATAACAGTGTATTCGATGTTTATTCTATCACTAGGAAAATCATATTATAGAGACTTATTAACAATTTTAGGTAAATATTTCAGCGAAATTTAAACAAAATAAAGCGATTTCATTGGCAAACAAACTTTGGCGAACTGGGACAGATCGCGTATTAAAGTTGTATAGTTTGTGGTAAATCAAAGTGTCTTTTCTTCTTCTTTTATTGATACTTCTAGATATATAATGTTAACCATTAAAAACTTATGTTTCTTTTTCTGTGTAAACACCGAGAGATATTTGATACATAGAATCTTTTAAAACATTCATATGAAAAAATAATTGTGTGCCGTCTATACCGTGAAGAGGGAAAATGCACATTAAACAAGGTGCGGGTTGAACCGTATTGAAGCGTAGATGTATTTTGAAAGCACGAGGTCCAATAGAAAGTACCATGAATTAATATATATTCTAAAACAAAAAAGTTTTACTCTTTCCTGGTTACTATAGCACAAAAGCCCTAAAAAAATTTCGTTGAACGGTTTTCAGCGTTATTCATTCTTGCTGATGAGTGGATGTCGATTTTATCATCAAATACAGGCGAACGGTTGATGACGTTACTTAAATTTGTAAGACATTCAAACTTAAATACACTATACATGTATACGTGTATATCTTTAATAGAAAAGCATTTTTACTTTGTCTGTTGTTTTTTTTGGGGGGTTTTTTTGTATGATCATTTGAATATATTTTGTTCTTCTAAATTTTAATTACTAATTTTCATTTCTTTTTATTTCATTTTTGTTCCTCTCTTTTTAAAGAAACCAACTACATGTCAAGGGATTTTTAAAAAAAAAATCAACTTTTTAACAATCAAACTACATTTTTGTATATCAAACATGCTACGATTGTGCAATATTAAAATCAATATAGAACACACTTCATTTCATTACTTGTGCTTTATTTTGTATTTATTAGGCTTCAGTCTGCCTTACATATTTTTCGCATCGTAACAAAGGCTCAAGTTATCGGCCTAGGAAAGTACTTCGACAAAAATGCCCCCAGGTTAATATTTGAAAATGTGTGAAATATATCTCCAATATTTAACGTATATAAAACGTTTTTGGAAACGTTCATGTTGGGCAAAATTGAAATAATTCTGTTATATACATAGAATGAAAAGATGAAAATACTTTAAAGTCAAAAATTTCCAATTAGTTATATATGATCCTTTGAAAATTTCATAGCGGAGTTAAAAAGACGGTAGCTGATAACCCGCTTTGTTTGCATTACTATTGCTGTATATAAACCAATTCAAAACATAGGGGTCAAAATTAGCCTCCTTATCGATAGTAATAAGGTAATGGCATATTTTGTAAGTCTGCCCTTTAAAAAAAGGGCGGACAACTCTTTGTCCCCTTCTCATAAGAGAAGGGGAATCCTGGTGATGCGTGTATGTGGTCGCACGGTCACTTTCCTTAAAATATGTCCTCGATGCATGTATGTGGTCGCATGGTCGAAACTTTATATAATTACAACTATTTTCAGCGCAACACGAACCTTCCTTTGAATCTAATGCCATTTGCAAAGATATCAAGGGAGGTCATTCAAACCTACTCCATTTTGAACCCTTACCCCATTTGTAAGGGTTGTAAGGTTATCAGGGGAGGTCACTATAACCAACTAGATATTTAGCGCAACAGTAATCTCCCTTTCAAAATAACGCCATTTGCAATGTTATCAGAGGAGGTCACTCTGACCAACTCGTTATTTGTCCGCAACAGTAACCTCCCTTTAAAACCATTACGCCATTTGCAATGTTATCAGGGGAGATCACTTATCTTACTCAAATTTTAGCGCAACAGTAACTTCCCTTTTTAACCCCTACGCCATTTGCAATGTTATCCGGGGAGGTCACTCTAACTAACTCTATATTTGTCTGCAACAGTAACCTCCCTTTTAAACCCTTACGCCATTTGCAATGTTATCAGGGGAAATCACTCTTACTAACTCGACTTTTTGCGCAACAGTAACAGTAGATGTTGAAATATGATTTTTTTTCAAAACGGCATATATTAAGATTTTTTTATATATATTATCAGTACATGTCCTGGGATTGACAAATATGCATTTTATTTGGATTTTAAAGGCGTTTTGAGCTCCAAACCCCAAGCGTCTGTGGATAAAAACGCTATATTGAAGCTTTCGGCCTGTTTCAGCAGCGTTTATTATATATACAAATATATTCAAGCAAAACAAGGGAAGTAACGTAACGTCATTGAGCGACAATTGATTATTATACCTATACAAGTTTGCTTCTTTAAAAAGAAGTATGCAAGAGGTCTTTTTGCAGCTGTGGAAGATTTGTTTAATTCAAAAATAGTTGGAGATAATTTTGCATAAAAAGCACAATGAATGTTTATAAATTACAATTTTTTAACAAAATAGAATTTATTATATAATTTTATTAAATATAGTATCAAAATAAAAGTTTGTTTTACACATCATTTGTTGAATGTTTTGAAAGATTATATGCCCGAGAAATGGACATTTTCTTGGCGCATCATGGGTATTTTTTCTACAAAGGGAACAATTTATGTCATGTAATCAAACTTAATTGAAAATAAATGATATACAATGCATAAATGCATATTAAAAGTAGTATAAAAATAAGTTTCTTGTAAAATTCAATAATCAAAGTTATTTTCGATTAATGTTTTGGAAAGTATATGGAAACATTTCCTCCTGCGATTTACAAATACATGTATATATAAACAGTTAATACATCATTTGATTGGAATAAACAGTTAGTACAGTTGCATGCATCCAACCACAATATTTCAAGGAATTCAAACTTGAGCAAAATGTGTGTCATTTGCGCCAAAAAAAATCTCCGTTGCGTAATTAAGTCATACCGGTTCAAAAGTTAAAGGAGCAGCAAAATTTCTGTACAATTCACTCGGTCTTATTGTGGTGCATAGTGGTATTGTAGCTATAATGTTCACTGTTACTATTTTTCGGAACATGAAGTAGTAAAACTTTATTCTGAAAGCAATGATCGATTTATACAGTTTAAAGGATTAAAAAAATGGAATGAACCGCTGCTCGTATTGTCAAGTAACGTAAACGATATTTTCTGATTTTTCCTTGTACCGATTTGTTCACTTCGATGGTAATTTTTCGTTTAAGTTAAGTCGTATTTTGAAGCGGAGCATGCGCATAACATTTTTTGTAGACTGGTTCTAATGATTTAAGGCTTAAAATGCGATGCTTTAGCTTCAATTTTATACGAAAAATTATTCTCAACACTGTGGAAAGGTCCTATGACCTCTCCAATGATTGACATATCAATTGAAACTGTGCAATTCTATTCCAAAAAATTCCATTATCAAATAGCTTTAATGTGTTTATAATTTTTATTTCTTTTTCAGAAAAGGCGTGTTCCGGACCTAAGTATTCTAAAACAGGATTACCACCTTGCACAGGTAATTTATAGAACTTTGTTTTGTATATTAGTAAGGTCTGACAGTTTATATAATATAAAGACATTATATTGGAACAAACAAAGCATAATAGGCAACACCTGTTATGAAAATCTTGAACTACTTAACCCCCGCTCCACCCCACAATTCTATTTAAAATGAAATCAATATACCTAATATGTGATATAAAGAAATTCCACATGAACAAGCATGATACTATGAAACATTTAAAATAAATGAAAATGAAATATTTTATATCAGTCACAAAACAAGGACCGAAAGAAGAAATAATATTTTAAACGGAATTTTGAAAAGAAAATGTGTTTTAATTGACTCTTCAGATATTTTACATTTGTATTTTATTAAGGTACTGATATAAATATGTCTTTTTTTCCAGATGCCTACCCGATTCTGACTAAAAACCCTGTTCTCAGCAATCCTATTGTAACAACAAACGATTTTGAATTCAAATGCCACGTTCCATATCCGCCAAATAAGCATGATGCCACTTTCGAAGTCACGTGGCTCATAGATGGTCGACCAACACAAAGTATTCCGAAGCAAACTATTTCCGGCGGACAAAGGGACGTTACTCTGCAAGGTGGAAGTTTGTATGGTCATATCAACAGTGCATTATCTTGTTCTGTAGTTTCAACATTTACCGACCAACACACTGGGGGATTGAAATCACCACCACAGAACAGTAATGAGTACTTTGTTGGCATACAGGTACACATTTACGATATTTAAAAAGAACGTCATTCTAATTCTAACTCTCCATTTTGATTCTCATACTCTTTGGCTTTCTCTAACTTACTTAAACAAAAGGGGCGTCTGTGGCCTACTGGCACTTTCCCTTCACCACTGTAGGTTCGAATCCCGCTAGGTATTTTGGATTCTTTCATGTAGGCAAGCTATCAAGTTAGCTAACGGAACATCTCTGTTTCTCTGTAATGCTTGAAAGTCGCCATATGACAATTACATTGTACATTATTGATGCGACTTTAAACCCAATAAATAATTATAATAATAATACATGTAATAATAATAACTTATCTAAAATATAAAGTAAATTTTCAGAAGTTGTAAAACATGTTTTTCAGATATTTTGTAGTCACCAACTAGCTTTACATTATATCATTAGCTCATTAGCTGACTTTAAGCTCAGCTAATTGTCTGACCAGATTCCTGACCTTTGATTTGTAAAACAAAATCATTGATACTAAAAACACATACATGCATACTAAAAACACATATAGGCAAGAGAATTATGTGCGCATACATATAAGACACTGATGGCCAAACGGTAGAATAGACTCTGAAAAGGGGCAAGTGAAGAAATACCAAAAATAGGAAATAATAACCTAATTCTTTATGAAACCATCCTCATCTTGTTTTGTCCATGCCTAATCACTAATCTTATTTTTTTAAATTGTAGATTAGTCACTCAAAAATTACAGTAGGAGACAAGTTACCTGACCAGCAAGTATTTGTTACATCCACCATACCGATCGTCTGCAGACACCAAGCTCAACAAACCTGTGCTTTAATCTTCACCGTCACAACTGATAATGGTATGTTGTTTTCTTTCTGTTGTTTAATATGTGGTTTAATCAAGGTTAACGCGTAGGAGGTGACCGTGCGACCATAAACACATCTTAGTTTTGGGTCCTCCAGGGGCTCCTTGTCGCTGGTTCTTGTTGCTGGATCGTTTTGGGTTGCGTTTTGAACGCCACCTTCCTTGCAATTGCAACTTTTCGGCCCTTACCGTCAGATAAGGACATCGAACACAATATTTAATTTAGTATGAATACACAGAACGGATACAGTATTTCGGTCTGACCTACGCTAAGAAAGTAGACATGTAAATGCTGGGAGTTGTTGACAAGTTTATTTCCAATATATCAAGTACATGCCCACCTAAAATAAGTAAATTCATAGATACAAAAGCAAACGATACATTATTTGTATATTTATTATTATTGTTGTAGAAAGTACAAAATGTCAACCTGTTGACATTAGTGGCGTATGTTTCAACTTGTACATCAGTGGGCATATTCAAATTAAAATGGTTGTCAGACATATTTTCAATCATAATTGAACTGAAACAGACTTGCTTTTCTCTTGGATGTTAATTATATATACATTCGTTATTACACGTTTACATCTGAAACCACGTGGTAGCACTACTTTCACTCTGTATTGTTTCCGAGATTATTATAGATAATAGCCGAGCACGTTCCGATTGCCTTCCCTGTTGATCTTGTTTATCAAATTGTAGATAGTAAAGTATTCTATAAGAGATTACTAAGTAATTTAGCCAGTTCACAGGTGGACGTCAAATTTGATTTACCTTGAATTTTGTAGTCGATTTAAATATAGTCGATAATTTTCTACTAATTCACATTCCAGAGAATGTCTCACCGAGCACTTGCCACTTGGAAATTAAACATACAGACTGGAACCCTATAACAAACACTGCGCAGACGTCATTCTTTATCAATACGTCTCCGACTTTCACAGCGACGTCATCATCTACGTCACATGTACATTTTGGAGTAAGCACGGTGCCCGGATGGGAATGGAGCGGATTGAAAGTGCCAAATATAACGGTTACTGTTTATTTCATATTTTTGTTTGTATTTTGCTGGCCTGACACTCATCACATAGAAGACGTTATGTTTAATAAAACTTAATAAAAAAATACGAACACGCGTTTCGATGTAAAATACTCTTTGAAGACTACTAGTCTTTGTAGGACCTTATTACAAAACTAGAACGAAGGTCTTACTACATTTTGAATTATAAAGAAGAATTAAGTGTAATGTTTAGTTGTCGTCTTTGTTTCTGTTGATGTTAAGATATTTTTCTAATGTCTTAGTCTTTGGGAGGGGGGATGTTTATGCACCCTTTTATTGTGACCCCCGACTTCTGTGTGTTTTACATTTATCTGTCTCCACTAGGCGGGGAATTTACCAGGGGTTTAAAGCATCACGCTTCCGGATTCTTGCTAATTTTCATGAAAATTTTGATAATGTATTTGAATGTGTAATATTTATGAAGTAACCAAAAGGAAGCAATTTACACATTGTCAAATATCAATGGCACTTAAAAACCACGTAAATTACCAAAAATGGTCAAAATATGCATAAATAGCCTTTACTGCGTAAATAACGCAGTAGAAATATAGTTGCACTGAAAAATCAGTCATTAATCGCACATAATTTGTAAAATATTACTTGAACCTTGAAACTTTTTACTTTCCCTTACATCTTAATACATTTTTCTCAAGTTTTATTTTATTAAAATATTTAGACTCATCTGGAGGCATGTAGCATTACAACTTCAGTAAGTCGAAAGCGGTTCTTGGAGTCTTGAAGTTGCAATTGTCTTGTAAAATGTTATAAACTGAATTTAATTTTCAGGTGGTCTCTACTGCCAACCGACACGGAGCACAGTGCAAATCTGTCGGAGATCCACATTATTTCACATTTGATAACCATTTTACATCGGCTAACAAGTAAATTATTTTTATTTATTGTTTTGACAAATATAATGAAAAATGTTCGCTAAATATCTACATAGCAACACTAAAATGTTTTGTTGGTTTGAGTTTTTTTCCCGTTCGTTCGTTCGTTCGTTCGTTCGTTCCTTCATTCATTCATTCATCTATATATTCACTTACTCACGCAATCAATCACCCAATCATTCATTCGTTCGTTCATTCCTCCGTTCATTCATTCATTCATTCATCCATACAGTCAAATAAAACCCAAGACGGAGATTCCGCAGTTGTATTCGTAGAGAAAGACATCAGCTGTCCCTCTGTGCATTATTTCAGTCACGAGCGGACTCCTAAGAAGATCCACCGGCCTTTCAAAAACTAAATGTATAGATTCATAACATAAAAGAATTCACTCGCGGGATTCAAACTTCGAACTTACAGCGGTTAGTGCCTGATGATTTGAAGTCAGTTGCCTTAACCATATGAGTTTGTAAAAAGTAAAATTGTATGAATTACAAAGATTAAATATGAAACTATTTTTTTATTCTTTTCTTGTTTATTTTTAGACGTTTTTCTAATTTCCATGTTGGACAATTTACGTTGGTGAAACAAAAAAGAGGCTCTTTCCAGGTATATAATTTCAAACTTGTACATTATGTCGTATTGTCTATGGTCTATTATTGTATCACTCCAGTTCAAATGATTGCTTAAAATGTCCAAAAATGTGTTTTTGGAAGGTAATCAATCGCCCTTTTGTTTCGTTAATTCCTCGTGCATTGTCGTCTATTTCTCGTGCATTATTATCACAGGAAATGTGACTATGAAAAGTTTAAGCATGCGCATATGTATTGAAATTTAACGTTATAGACGTTTTCAGACAGGACATGTGACTTAGGTTAACGCATGCGCATATGAATCAATTGTTTCTTTCGTTACAACATACCGGTATAAAAATCATTTTAAAAGCAAATATCGTGGGGTTTTATAATGTTTGTTTGTTTGTTTGTTCGTTCTCTCGTTCGTTCGTTCGTTCGTTCGTTCGTTCGTTCGTTCGTTCGTTCGTTCGTTCAATCTTTCGTTTGTTTGTTTTTGTTGTTTTTTTTCTAAGGTCTCCTTCTCTTATAGGTTGAAAGTCGAACTTGGAAGATGCCTGGTGGACGAGCATCGCTCAACTGCGCAGTCGCCGCACGTGAGGGAAATGACGTCATAATTGTGGATATGTGTGATGGACCATATGAAAAAACTTACCCTAAACTTAAGATTCAGAATCCAGCGATGTTTGAAAATAAGACCAATATTGTTAAAGATCGAAGTGGAAACGTCTTTGTGGTATTTTTCAAATACTTCAAAATATATCCCTCAATTGGGTAAAAAATCGTTTAATATAAAGATTCAAACAGTATTTTCATTCAGAACTATTATACAAACTTTATCGGACATTGAACAGGATAACTTATAGGACGATATACGTCAGTGTAAATTTCCTTTTCCGATGACCTCACTTTCTGAATGATGACCTCACTAAGTCTTTGATCTCTATAAATAAAGTCTTTTATATTACTAAGAGCCTAAACATCACCGTGAGTCGGCAAACTAAGCAATGATTTTAGTAAAGAACTAAATGTAGTTATTACGTACCTTTTTAATGACAGTGCTCAATGACCGAGGCTGAGAACAAAGTTTCATCAATCGTTTATCCAATCGAAAATCTGAGGAGACTCCACGTGATTTTTCATAGAATTAAATATTACAAGGATTTTATTCCTCATTTACAAAGATTTTATTCCTCATTTACAAATATTTTATTCCTCATTTCAGATAAAATTCAAATCAGGAGCTGTGGTTAAAGTACACCTTAGAAATCTGAATTGCCTTGATGTTTTTATAAGTGTACCGGGTACATTTGCAGGGTACGTAATATATACATGTAAAGCGTGTCTGTATATAGGTTGAACACCACTAAATATTTTTCTTCTTACATACGTGTGTAAAGGTTGGTAAATATGTTGTACTGTTCTGTAAAGAATTCTTTCGTTTTCTGTACTCGCTTGTATATAACACTATATCATAAAATATTTGTATTTGTTAGCGGTAGTGATAGAGTTTGGCAAATGTTTAACAGTACAGTATACTTTATTACAATTTTAAAAGTGTCATAAATAACTTACAGGGGAGCAGTTTCTGTAGGGCTAAGATGTACTATTATTCTTCTCAACCCAGTGACCATGGGTTCGAGCCAGTACTGGTTCATTCCAGGAAGTTCAGTTAAAATAAGCTTTAAAGCTTTCACCATAATGGAGCCATAACTATAAATTTTAATCAGAAAAGCTTATGAAAATGTAATAATTTTATCAATTTCTAATAAGCATATTTATTGTATTTACATAGTGACACAATGGGACTATGCGGTACGTTCGATGGAAACTATAATAATGACTTACAACGTCCGAATGGTCACATAGATGCAGTTAGCAGATATCCATATTCTTTTATAGATTCCTGGAGGTATGATCTTGAATAAAATAAATGACAGCTCTAATTATAGTTATTCTAAAAATAGATTTTTTTTCTAGATATATCGTAGTAAGAATAAAGTTGAACATTATATAAAGGCCTGATTTAAATTACAAGGCTTTTAATTAGATTTTAGTGGGCACTGCATGGATGAATGCTAAGACTAAGTTATGATGTAGACAAATTTACCATTTTATTCGAGAAGACTGTACTCATTTTAGTTTGACATTGACGTTTTCTCTTTGCAAACGATTAAGAACAAATTACTTTTTTCATTATCCTCAAGATTACTTTAAATTTTTGCGTTGTTTTTCTTTAAATCTGTATTTAATATAAAACATTTTGTTCTCAAATTAAGGATACCAACTGGTACTAGTTTGTTTGAGAAAGCGGAACCACTTCCGGCAAAGAACACACGGATGGATTTCTGCACGTGCAACAAGCAGACGAATAAACAAGAATGTAATAACAATCATTCGGCAATGCCACCAATTTCGGTATTCCAGTTTCCATTTTTAACAAAAATGCTCGATAAAAAAATAACAGTGTACAAAACCTTTTAAAATATTTTCAGACATTTGTTTGATGGTGAGATTTCTTTTAAAGACCCCCACCCAGTCACAATTAACAGTTTGAAAACATATTGAATTGTATGATAAATATACAGAAATGTTACTGAAATACAGGTAAAACAATTAATGAAAAAAATATAATGACTTTATCTTACCTGATATATAAAACGTAAATTATGACGTCATCTTTAATGTTTAGAGAACAACATTATTATAGATCTATTGCCCTGATTTCAAAAGCGAAAAAAAACAACATTTGACAGAGTTTCAAATTTTAAAAATATCTGGTCACACTGCTCTATAACATTTCAGTCCCCATCATTTTTAGTGTAAACTTTAATATATTGTAGGCGTTTTGTACTGGGTGTACAGCTGTGGATCCTGTACCGTTTTTACCACCAACCACGACACCGCCATCTGTCTGGGTAACTATGCCGCCTCCAGTTGCACAAACAACGTACATCTTCCCACCCCGTGAGTTATATGAAAATTCTACGGAAGCGCAAATACGACACCGTTTGTTGATCAATTTTTTTAATATTGTTGCAAGCCTTATCCTCAACTAGATTTATTAATTTACTGCTTACTTGACTGCATATATCACGAAAAGTGTTGTCTGTTTAAGTATTTATGATATTTAAATTACTTTTAAAAAAAATGAATTTTTGAAGCTGGATTCCCTATAATGGGTCAAATAAAGTTGGTCCTTTTCTTAATAAGAATAAATATCAGTTTTTTAATGACACACTATATTCATATTATGTCCACCTATAGTGTTTATAGTTTAAACAAAACATCTACTTTGTGTGGAAATAAAACATTTTTATTCAATATTTACAAAGAGACTGTTAAGCATTTATCAATATTTTCAAATATCAAATTTGAGCACAGTATATCTTTACCTTATTAAACCCGGAATTAAATTGATTTTTGAGTTATGGATAATTAAATATGACTACACGATTGTAACATATCGTGTGGCTAAGGGGTTGCCTCTACGGACTTAATCTTCAGTTGCACTGAGTAACCGTAAGAGGCGACTAAAGGGGTCTGCGTAACTGGAGTCTATGCATCTCTTACCTCCAGCATATTAAGTGGTTTTGACCCCTGGTGTTGCTTTAAGTTTGTAACACTCGAGGTTAGCCAGAATCATGTTTCCTGTTTCGGCGCCATATGACCTAAACTGTGTTGGCGCGCCATAAAACCAAACATATCTTTCAGCATCCCAGCCCCCTCAACAAACGGCAGTCATTTCACGACCCACGGCCACGATGTATTGCTTTGACGTAATGAACAAGTATCCCTCCGCACAGAAGTGTATACATGATGTTTACCAGATGGGCTTTACGGAAATCGTTGACATGTGTGTAAATGATATTGAGGTACTTTTTTTTTCAAAAAAAAAAACATGGACCGTGTTTTAATTAAAAAGAGACAACGGTAATAGTGTCATAGTGTTATGTACTTAAATAGGGGTTATTCCCCAGAGCTTTATCCGTAACGTACCGGCAAACGGTATTAAGCTAGGTTTTTGAAAAGGTCAGTTAACCAATCATGTACGGTTTACAGATCACGTGCCACTCTATGTACCGAACACAGGGCTCTAGCCCGCAAGGAATAATACTTAACTAGGATAGAGAAGTCATTCAGGTATAGTGTACGTATGCATATGGCCATGTTTTAATAAACGTGACCATATTGTTGAACACGTGACTATGTTGTTGTACACATGGCCATATTGTTGTACACATAGCCATATTGTAATTTATATAGAAAGCAGTGACTAGTTTCTTAAACATCTTTGCTTCCTTTTTAACTTTGAATCTGATTACGTATTGACTGTTTCATTACTATGCTTATTGGGCTAGGTTGACCAAAGAAGGCTTTAACATGGTGAGGATTGTAATTGTATGTGGCCAGCTTGATTGATATTTATAAACGGCATGAATATCTTATATATACAATTATATATTTTTGATTATTAAATTTATTTTGAACTCGAATTCGTGAAAGTTTTTCGTTTATTTTAAAATGTTCCTAAAAATTAGAGGTTGCCTTGAGCCTAAGGTTTCTGTCTCTTAACCCTGAGATCGTCGGTCTGAACATTACTGGTGTCCTGCTTGTTATGACACAAATATTGGTTAGTTCGATAAAACGGACTCCAGGATATTTTAAATAAGCTTAAAGCTCTTTACAATCGAACTTGAATGAATACTCGTACATGTATGTTAAAACTAAATTTCCAAAAAAAAGGGACAAGATGAAAACGAAGTTAAATATTTGATGGTTAAAATGAAAAGAATATTGTTAGATATATGAATATTCTACAAATGGAGAGCCGATGTCAATTAAATCAACTGTTTTGCACTTGAAGATGTTAAAAAAGGAAGTTTATTTATGCGTGGCGCCTGGCATAGTGGTAGGAGTTGGGAGGTACATTGTATGCAAGCAGAAGGTGTCTCATAAGTCAGAAATGGCTGGCCCTTGCAGTAGGGGTGACACTATAATAAACAAGACCTTTTATAGTTAACAGGGGATAAAGATATGGGCCTTTCGGCATTGACAACTATGATGGAAGGGTGTGGCTTCAACAGTCTTATAAAACCCAGCAACGTAGTAAATGGTACGTTCGTAACCCCACCGGAAGCAAAGGTCTGTCCAGGCGCGTGCTCCGGAAATGGTGATTGCAATAATGGCGTCTGCACATGTGTGTCAGGATTTGAAAGTTCTGATTGTTCTGTCAACAAAACGAAATTGCCATCAATTACAGATATTTATGGGTAAGAATTTAATAAACATTTATTTGATAAACAATGAGGGACAGTAGTGAATAACCTCCCCTGAGTACTCCCTATAAATAGATAGGTCCTAAGCTATTGGATTACTCGGACTTTATCGCCTATTTCTTTGTAGCAAACTAAATTAATTGGGACTAATTATGATCATTTGTAATATTCAGATTAGATATTGCGATAAGATGTAGAATCTGTTGAAATAAATGAAACATTTTTTTCTTAAGGTTTACATATTTGTTGATGCATGTGTAAATAATTGATTAAGACATATCAACCTGTCTTATCTAAAACTCAACGATAAAACTAAAAAGCAAAGGATTCCAAATATTTGGACCTACTTACATTTTGGTTAACCTCGGTCTTTATCAAGGGAAGATAATCCACTACTGTCCCCCATTCCGGACTTTATTGAAAATAACCTTTACAGTACCCTTATACCGTATTCAAAATTCCTACCTAAAGCTGTGACTACTAAAAGTTTAACTTTTTATACATGTATAAGGACTTTGGTATAGCGACACATTCAGAATATTTCCAAATTATTTATTTATAAGAACTTTTCATGATGTTATAAGATCTCACATGAGTTGCCATACCATAAATAATTTAATAATATAGTTTATGAATTTCAAATACCTGTTAGAAGATACATTTATTGCACGAATTTAATGTAATTCTGAATCAAAAGACGACTAAAGCCAAACACAACGCTTAAAACGCCATTTATTATGATGAATCTTTAAGGGCGGTGCTTTATAGGCAATGAATACTTATGCTGCTTACTTCATTTTAAACTTACAACAAGGGACTTCATTTAAGACATACTAGAACAAGCAATGTTCATCATTACCACAGGCGTCACAAGATCTTGTATTAACTTCAGCTGACGACAAAAAGGTCAACCAGGCCTTGAATTTGGACAGTTGGGGAGTTGGGGGACTTATGATACTTTAAAAGCTGCAAAACTGAACTGGATTGATATTTGTTTAAAATAAAACCAATTTTAGTTTTTATTATTTTTTATCATACAGTTCTAAAAATAGATTATCATATATTTTGTGTATGATTTTTTTACAGAGGAAGCGCGTGCGATTCACAATCTGGTGACTGCCATAAACCTGTTGTGCTGGGAGAAAACATGAACTACCAAAAGACTGCCTGTAAAATACGAGGAATTCACGTAAATTGACCTTAACTTTGAAATTAACATATAAACTTTAAAGGCCAATTAAGCCCATTGTCGGATACCAACGGTTGGTTAACAACATGCTCTTTTATTTTCGGTATCCTGTTACAGTTTCATATTTGCTTAAAAGCTGGGCCGAGCATCCTTTGCGTCTTTAACATTTTCGCAATAAGTCCAGTTGTAGTGATGTAGTATTTTGTTTACATTTTGTTACTTTTATCATAAATCATAAATTTCACATTAAGCGATATTTCATGAGATGATAAGCATCTTTTCAAATATTCTAAATCTATTATGATCACATGTTATACTACTGTGTCATTTGCGATCTTCTAAATTATTTATTTGAAAACTGCGTCTCTATTCTTAAAGACATATCATTTATTTCCAGGGTTGTGGATTATTTCAAAATGTTTAAACGCACGTATTGTCATTTGTATTGTTTCAGTTTTCACAATATGGTTCGAGCACTGTTGATATGACGTCATCTGTTGTTTTAGCTGACTTCATGTCTACAAGTCACGTTGCCTGCCCACTTCCAAAAGACCCTTATAACGGTATGTGTTCTGTTTCATAATGTTTACATTTAGTATTAAAGTGGTTTGGCATACCATAGACTACTTTTGCGTACGTATTACAAATATTGATAAAAAAACAACAAAGGAATGGTTCCATTTTGATTTACTTATAAAATGTGTTTTGAAAACAAATGCTGATAAAGTTCCTAGTGTTTGATTATGAACATTTATAAATTGAACTATAATGTTTTTGTTCTGCTTAATTTTCTCGCGCTTTCACATTTTTACTGTCTATTGCAAAAATACGAAAACACAGAGATATATAAAGTTTGACTTTGTCGTATCTTCGTACTTTCGCATTTTTTGGGCAAAAAAAGACATGGCGTAAATCAGCCACCATATAGAAAATTATCATACACCTATCCACTTGACTTTATAAAACACATCAAATGTTTGTTATAGGTGATGGGGCAGCTTTAAAGGGATATATGATGTCATTAACAAATAATGGTGGCTCGAAAGAAGGCAATACGCAAGTGTATTACATTTATAATTCTACATGCATGGAATGTGACCAGCTAGGGTCGTGTAGTGTAAAGGTACATATCTCATTTCCACTTCTAATTTGACAGTAATCTTTAACTAATTCAACAAGTCAAACATTTAAAATGCACAAAACCATTTATCATTTTTAGCGAACATTTTGAAACATATACTGATGAATAGCAAATAATGAAGACCATGGCCAACGTATGTACCAATAAAGTGTTATGATTATAAAAATATCTTCCAGATTCATTGCCCTTGATTTTGAAGCCACTTTTAACTATGAAGTAACACGAAAACGCGGAATAATTGAGTCATGTGAAGAAAATGCACATTTTCTCGTGCATTAACATTTGCAGATTCTCTCTCCCTCGTTCAGCGGGCTCAAGCTTTAAATGTAGCCTCGTGCTTCTGTAGATATTGATACACGAAAAAGTATGCATTAACCCTTTCATACATGTATTGTTACTTCCGATTATGGTCTTGATATACCAGGATGTACATGTTCTATCAATTTTTTTTTGAAAGCTTGTTTTATATGTACAGTCTGGCACGTGTATGATTGAGAACAAATGTTATGTTAATGGCGACCATGACAACAGAGATAATCAAGGCTGGTGTATCCCGACGGTCAGTAATACACAGTGGACTAAACAGTCTCCGACGACGGCTGCACCACTTCCAACAACAACGGCATTCTTCCCTCCATCTTCCAAAGCTTCGCAAGGTACGATTATTCTATTTTGAAATTACCTCAATGTTCTTGATCGATCGCATCGTCGTATACCCAGGGTCGAACCGTTAGGATGTAAATCAACAGTGGGTATCGACACTAGTTATGTCGAGAAACTGTTGCAAGGTACTAATATGTCGTTGTTGTCATTCTAGTATTTGATAGTCATAACACACATGTTGCAGTTCAAGATTAACGAAATAAATCCTTAACAGATATGAATTGCTAAGATTGGGGAAAGAGATAACTGACTTAAACAAGAAAATCTATAGAAAAAAAGTTTTATTATCTGGCACTCTCAAAATGTCGTCATATTTTATATTTAAACAGCTAGATGTATGGCGTATATGGCTGTTAGAAGCTATGTACACCGTTACAATGTCAGGATGTCGCTGTTCAATCCCTAATAGAAGGAATGTCTATGATTTAAAACTCATTAACTTTACTGTAATAATTAAGCTGAGGGCCGTTTTGGGATCCATAAATTCCACATCTATGCACTATTTTTGTATTCACAGAAAATGAAAAAAATCAAATGAAAAGGTTACTATATTGTATAGGAACCGTCCGACGTTCTCAATCGGAAGAGCATTAGACTGTGAATTGGGCGACCATTGCTCGATTCCCTTACGTTGCAGAACACTTTTTTTGTGATTGATCATAAATTCCTTTATACGATCATTTGCACTGTTCGTACTGAAGTATTATTAGTTCCTTGCAAAAGAAAAGGCATTAGTACTGGTAAACTGCTGAAGAACCTGCCAGGGAACATTGTTTTTGTTGAACTGTGTTCAGTGTGGTTAAACGTCATTATCCGCAGGGGTTAACTACCAAACCGCCACATACATGTATTGTATAGTTTATTTAAACATGTATATATTTTATTTCTTAGGACTGTAATTAACTTATTTTCTTTGTTTTATGTTCTAAGGATCTGGTGCACTGAACAACTACACAGCTGTGGGCACGGGATGTGGCTGTTACTTCGATACCACGAGGACAGACTGCGCGTGCTGTAAGAACTACGGTTGCCCGTGTGATGCTACGAGTAGACACGTGTGCTTCGACTGTATGACACCTGACATGTGTCACCATTAACATTTGATATTAGTTATATACAGATCACTTTGATGTCATTTATTGATTAGTGAAGTATACATTGATTTGAATTTAGGTTATAAATAATAATCACAGCGTCCTATAGTTTGAGTTTTTTTATTATCCCTTGATCAGTACATAAGGGGAATGAAGGGGATCTCACTGCTTGTAGAATGAGTCTTGAAGCTGAAGTCGCTACACCTCGTTTTATCCGAGTAGAGAATGCCTTTGTTCTAGTTTATACATGTCCTAATGATTGAATGATTTAATCCATCTTGTCAAACATGAGTAATAAAGACTTCTTAGCCAATACTGTTTCGTTTTGAGAAATGAGTAAAATGTATTCATTTTATTTTCACATTCTTCAAACCATAGTGCAATATAACTTTTTGGTATTAAACAATAATATCATGACTAAATATTGCCTTTTTGGTATCTCAGTCCCCACCTTTTCCAACCCCAACCACACCCCAAGCATCACCCGTCATTCAATTGAAACAAAGCTGTACTTTTCATGTAATGAACATTTATTATTATTTACAATTTCTTAATTAAGAACGCTATCTTTAAAGCATATGTTATCCTCCCTTTTTTATTTTTAAATTCTAAACTAAAATCATTACAAAATATGAAGTGCTTTATCGTTTTAATCTTTATCTGACCAAGGGACTCGTTGCAAATGCTGCAGTCTTTTCTTCGTGAGGTCAACATCCGGTTCCGGTTTATACAGATGAGCCGCCGTTCTGTTCAACTCTTTCATTTTCTCTTTGATTTCTTGCAAAGCTTGTTGTCGAGTAAGCAAATCTTGCTGCTCTCTTAAGTTATTTTGTAAGAGTGCTTTAATTGTTATTTCTTCTTGTTTCAATACGGATATTGACTTTCGTGTTGATGTTGATTCGGTATCAAAAGCTGTTTCAAGATCTCGTAGATTCTCGGGTATTTGTTCCATCAGCGAGATTTCGTTTGATTCTTTTCTTTCATGCCTGCCTGCTGGGACATATTCATGTCGTCTGCTTTGATGCTCGGAACGTATTTGTCGTCTGCCGTCTGGGACAATTTTTGATTGTCGTTCGTTCGTTTCATTATGGTAACTACTGGTATGTCCTTTCGGAATATATGGAACATACGGGTACTCTGATTCTGCCAGATAAACAGGTTTATACCTGAATAGTTCGCTTTGAACTTTGTTCTGGTGCATTTGATTTAATATGTCTCGTACGGCCAAAGTATTCCCAACCGCTGAAGAAGAGTTGTTAATGTCTATACTTGTATCTAAAATGTCGTCTGCAATCCAACCATGAAATGTCATGCGCAAAACGTTGAGAAAACCCTGGAACGCCGGAAGACCCCGTGTACGGAGACACACAGACAGGAGTGTCATCTGTTTCTCAACGTCTGCCTTGCTGTCCTGTAAATAATTAAAAATAAGTTTCTTATAATGCATTTAGCTATACAAGTATACCTTTTTACGCTACGATATTTCCATAGAAACGGAAGTAGCATTTCGCGCATGCGCATCCTGCGTAGGGCAAAAAATGCAATGACGAAAGAATAGATTTAATCAGTATTCAACAACTTAATTAACAATTTGTTATAGTCTAAATGATTAACTAAAAGTTAAGAATTGTTTATCTTGATAAATCTATAACGGATGCAATGGTGAATTATATATTTCTGCATCAATTTAGGGTCTTCAATTTGAAAGACCCCAAATGATACATTCGATTGTGACTTAAGAACCTTCGTATACTCGTACAAGCATAAGAATTAAACCGCTTCTTGCATTTTAAGTGTGCTGTGAAATGCAGCACTTGAAAATACATTCCTTCAAAATATTCGGTAAAGCTGTGCGAAGGTGTGCTAGCGTCATTAGCGTCATTATTAAAACACTGAACACCTAATTAGATGTTGTGAATGCGAATTTTATGGTTAATATTTTCTTTCTATTCTTAAGTACTTAAAGACTTAAATGAACTCATTCAAATTATGTCATAGAAATATAAGCATAGCATAACAGAGACATAAATATTTCTTGTAGGGTAACTTGAAAACGGAACACTTTAAGATGTATTTGTTTCTAAACAAACCTATCGTGTTTCGGTAGGTGAACTCAATTTCTAACACCAACATGTACGCAGTCGGTAAGGCAATAATTCTTTTTAAATATTTGATTAATATGCAAAAAATATATAGGTTATAAACGTTATATTTATTTAACACATCAATAATCATATAATATATTAGACACTTATTGAACATCATAAACTAAGGGTACCTAATTAGTTCTGATATTATTCTCGTTATTTTGACAAAATTTAAAACTCAGATCTTGTGTAAAATAAACTCAGTAAGCTCTTACGTATTTAATAAACTGTTTACTAGAAAATGTAATGAGATCTGTAAAACAAAACTTAAATATCTGAGCAATTCAACTGGGAAGTTAAAGAACTATCCTGTACATTGTATTTTAGAACTATCCTTACATTTTAGTTTAGAATTGCCAATGAGATTCCCAGATTTCATTTTGTAATTTTAAAATGACCTATGAAAACTCTTCTAATATTCAGTTCTTCCCTGTATTTTTTACAGGAAGTCAAACTGAAAACAGACCGGCCTTCGTCCGGAAAAGGTCCTCTCACTGTTTAAAGTATCATTAGACGACCTTTTCATCAATAATTTAAATTGAAACAACAGGGTGTTGAAGATGAAATTTTATTACCCGTGTAGTACGTGATATTTCAAAGTTGGTTCTGTTACACTCCCTTTTTGATTATGTTGATTTGATTTGCAATGTGGTATGTGGCAAACAGATGGACACGTTACCGTTTTGATTTTTTTTTTGTTGTTGTTGTTGTTGTTTTTTTCTTCAGCTGGCTTACAATTCATTCAACCGGGACCGTGATATAGTGTCATGGCATTCCTAATAACATAGTTTTTGTACTGTGTAGTTAGTTATTATTTATAATTGGATATAATTTTATGATTAGTATGATATTTTATCGTGTTATTATAAATGTTTTACTAGTCTCTTATAATTCAATGATTGAATGGTCATGTACTTTTTTGTGTTTTATGTTTGCTTATGAATTTTATTTGTGTATGTACATGAATGAGACTTAAATAAATAAATAAATATAATACAATTATGATAATCGTTATTGAATTAAAGTTACATGCCTCGATCCAGATAAGCATAAATGTTTTAAAAAAAATCAAACTTGAAAAAAAACTGTATTAAGATTTTTAAAAAAAATGTAAAAAGATTAAAGATTCAAGTAATTTTTTTTATTTTTTTTTCATGAAAATTAGCATGGATTTGGAGGCATGCTGCTTTAATAACATTCACATATACCAAGGTCAGTCTACCAATAAATAAATTTGCAGGTACTCTGCTTTAAAGACAACATTTAAATATCGAGGGTTCAAAGGTAAAAGGTTATAACTGCCACTTTTGCCGAAATTGACTTTTTATGTTTTTTATAATGTACTTATTGTCCTTTATGTCTGACGAAAATATTATATAAATATTCAATCCTTATAAGGGCAAAAAAATAAAAAGTATTTTGTAATAACTTCTTTTCTACAAATTATTTAGAGGTAAAAGGTTCTAAGTGTACTTATTACCTGTTGTTTACTTGTTGTTCCACATGTTGTTAAGAATCTGTAGTGGAAAAAGGTTATAACTGATTTTATCACCTTTTTTTCCTGACAGAATGCTGCATTCATATAGTTCACAGGCACTATCTGTTATCTCTTTTTCCACGAAATTTATCTTTTAGAATTAAATGCAACGAGAATATAACCGGATATGAAAGACAGAAAATATTCAGTAAATACTGGTCAATGGGTGATTAAATAAGTCAGAGGCAATTCATTTGTTTCCATGTTGCCAATAAAGAACCAGAGAATGCATCTAAACAGAGAACAAAACAAAGACCTATTTCGAATTCGTTTTTCACACAGGTAGAAAAGAGGGCGTGAGGGATGTTGCACTTATTCATTATCTCTCATGTACAGACTCAATCAAACCGAGTCTGCAATTTTTATGTAATTTTGTTGTGATTAATGCTTCCGAGGGATCACTTTGTTTCCTGAATTTTTTACTAAAAACTATCGATGTCGGTTCCAAAACAGTTGCAAACGCAGTTAAGCACAAAGTGGCAGGGTTATATGTTGGAAATGACAAGAGAGGGAAAGCTGTGCCTGGAAATAAAACCACGGAATATCACAGATCATTTGTAAAGAAACACAACGAAAGCTTTCCGACTGTTGAATCACACTACACACGAAGACCCCAACAGGAAGTATCTAACGCAAGATTTAAATATAAAACGAATATACTCACTGTATGTAGAAAAATGCAAAGGACAAAATAGAAAGTGTGTTTCAGAGGCTGTGTACAGAATCATTTTTAGTACAGAATATAACTTTTTTTTCCGTCCTAAGAAAGATCAATGTCCACTCTGCAATCTGTATGACACTTTGAGAATAGAAGATAGACTAGATGAGGCAACAAAAGCAAAATATCAAGTACAATAAGTGACCAAAAAGAAAAAAAAACAGTGCAAGAATGCAAAAATCAGCCGATAAAAAACGCACAAAGAAAGATCCAAAGTTTTCTGTGTCGGCATTTGATATCCAGGCTATTTTGAAAACACCACTCAGTTTAATTGGTGATCTTCGTTACAAAAGAAAACTGTGTTGTTGCAATTTGTCATTCTATGAACTGGGAAATGGTAACGGGACTTGTTATCTGTTGGATGAGACACATGGGGAAACCAGGCTCGTGCAAAGTAGGAACTTTTGTGTACTTGTATGTAACCTCTGTTGCAAGTAAGACATCTGGTATTGAAGAAGTGACATTATATAGTAATGCATGTGGAGGACAGAATTGCAATCAGTTTGTTGCAAGTTGCTTAGTTCACTGTGTCCAAGATATACCTCACATCAATGGTAAAACCACACATTCATTGAAATTGGCCATTCATTTATGGAATGCGAATTCCATACATGCATCTATCAAGCATGCAAAAAGCCTTACAATAGTTCATGTTCCATCGCAGTGGGAAACAGTTATATCATAAGCACGCCGGAAGCAACCATATATTGTCGTTCTAATAAAATACAATGACATACTAGATTACAAGTTGTACAAAGAACAAAACTTTGGCTCAATGAAAATCGATGTTGATGGTGAACGTGTTAATTGGCTGAATATATATAAAATACATGGTTGATTTAGGGATGGATAAGGCTTATCCGGTGAGCTAGAAAGTGTATCTTGGCGAGCTTTAGCAAGCCAAGATTCACTTTCGCAGTGAACCGGATAAACCTTCTCTAGCCCGACATCAACCATGTATTTGCTTTATCCTGCTTTTAATAATGTTTTTAGAATAATTAAATGGTTTCATTCTTCTTTTTCCCCGATAAAATAACATCTATATGTAGTTTTGTTTTGCTGCTAAACATGTGACGTTATCAAATGACGTAATGACAGGAGATAGATAAAGACAAAAATACAGTTTTGTTGTGAGCTATGGTTTTGTGGTTAGTGAGTTCAAGGCAGTAAGGTTAATGCAGAAGAAGAACAGAAGCAAAGAAAAGTCTCTTAAGGCTCCACGAAATGCTTATACAGAGAAGCTTCCAATATCTGCTGCAAAAGCTGATTTGATGTCACTTGTTGCCTCTGGAACAATTCCGAAGGAGTGCGAATCATACTATGAGTCATTGCCATGCAGCAAATCTATAAAAGACAAACTTTCAGTGCCTTCTGTTAGTGAGAGTGAAGACGATGAGTGGAGGTCATAGAATAATTAATGACAAACATTCACATTTTGTGACATGAAACAGTAGTCTTTATTTACTTAACTATGATATGGGTCACTAATATCCTTAATTGCTGATGTCTGGGGTCTGTTTGACTTCAGTTCGATTATATACCAGAGAACATTCAAAATAAATGAAATTTGTAAACTTAGATTTAGTGCGTATTTTCGTAAACTTTTTAGTTATTTAATTTATTTCTGTAGAATCTAAATATTGAGCAGGTACATATTTCATATTTCTACGAATGAAAAGTGTTAATTTTGTGTACGAGTATTAATGTGCATTGTGTTAATTACATTACGTAAGGTTCTTCAAAGTAAGGACATAATTGATAAATTTGCAACAGTAACAATTACTGCAACATCTAAATTTTTCAGAGGAACAAGGCTATAACTGCACTTATAACCTTTTACCACAGTTTATCTCTAACTTTTATTGCTAAACCTTCAGAAGTAAAAGGTCGTAAGTGCAGTTATTACCTTTTACCGCTCAAACTTGTAGTCTTGACAGGATCTAAGTACATTTATTACCTTTTACTTCTGTAAAATGATATTATTTTGATCTTAGAACTTTAAAACAAACTATAATTACAGTGTTTTATCAGCATCAAACAATGTAAACTAAACAAAATATGATCTTATGTAGTCAACAAATATGGGAGAATCAAAATTGTTATAACAATATTACGGAAAATAAAGTTGTATTAAAAAAATAAAAAAATATGTTTTTTGCGTTTTTCTCGAAATATTGAAAATGGCAGTTACTAGTATTACCTTTTACCTTTGAACCCTCGATATCAGAGTTGCAAATTCGCCAGTATTTATAGATTCCACCAACTTTTCTAAGTTCATCGACTTTTTCTTTTTATGTCATGATCATGTATTTAAATTTAAATCTAGATTCACTATCATTGACATATCTAAATGCATCACACCCTCTGTTATTGCGCGTGCGCAGTGTTCCCTTTTACGCAATATACAAAAACATTAAACCATACAAAAAAATGAGCCGTGTCATGACAAAACCAACATAATGGGCTTGCGACCAGCATGGATCCAGACCAGCCTGCGCATCCGCGCAGTCTGATCAGGATCCATGCTGTTCGCTTACAGACCCTATAACAAGTAAAGAAACTGACAGCGAACAGCTTGGATCCTGATCAGACTGCGCGGATGCGCAGGCTGGTCTGGATCCATGCTGGTCGCAAACCCATTATGTTGATTTTGTCGTGACGCGACTCAAATAAACTTTACCATCATTTGGTCTCTTGTATATTTGCCGATGACGTCCATTTGTTTCAGTTTTTCAATAACAGACGTGGATAACACCAGGTGACGTCTTAGAAAATCCTCCTTTTTACTTAGAATAGCCTTTATTATATCAAAATCCATCGTTGATATATCCGGGGAAAACAACGCAACTTTTCAATGTATCTGGCTTTCAAATAATTGTATATATCAATTGATAATTTTTATACAGACCACTTTTCGGTTGTCAATAATGTAAATATGGAAGCCCATGGACAAGAGGCCCTCGAATACAAAGTTTCTAAATCAATTTGTTACGTGTGTCGATCTTGTGTAATGTTTTAAAGGTAGTTTCAAATCCTTGGGATTTCAAGCGAACATTTATATTTTCCCTGACAAGTAAAAGGTTAAACTACATATTTATAATTATTATTTATTTGTCTGTTTTACTCGAAATAATTGACAAAAAGGATTTTTATATATTTCAATACAATAGGTATTTTACTACTTTACGGGCCTCTCATGAAGTTCCACACATAACTCCAAAAGAAAAGGCTGTTTACCCATTTGTGACTATAATAAAATTGCATTTCCGGCGTTTATTTCACCAATCGGTTGTACCGGATGTGACGAAAGTTTACTCTTTTCAATAGAGGTAAATAAATATGCTGTAAGAAAATGAAAAAATCAATAACAAAATCAAACATTATGTACACTTTATTAAATGTACAGAAATTACTATTTACATCAAAACACAAAAACAAACAATAATATAAATAAACATGATGTATAAAGAATGATTATATGAACAAACAGGGTCGACAATTCATGTTTTAAATAAAAAGTTACGTTTACAAGGCACTATCGAATATACATGTATGTCCGAATTTTGTATTATAGTAAATACAACATAATTATATGATAATCTCCTAGTATTTGATTTTTTTATTCTAAGATATAAAGCCTAGATGTGAACATATAGGCCTGAGCACATATTATATCCAATAACTCGTGCAATTCATTTTGAATTAACCGTTGTTTTTTTTTACAGTTTCAAAAGCCCTAAAACACTTTTTTTCATTTTATTAGATTCTTTCACAATGTGCGAAAATAAATAAAAAGCATATACGTGCAACACTTATGCCTAGTTATAGAACTAGTGTGCATGTATTATGCCATGCTTACAACATTCAATCACTTGTAAATATCGATCTTGCAAATCATTGAAATTTTAATATTGCAAATTATCATTTTTCATACAAAAATAGGTTATGAAAATTGGATAGAACGAATGAGTTTTTTCTGGTGTTTTGAAAATAGACACGTCACAAAATAAATGCATAGATTCCTTTCAAATGCATATTTTAAAAAAGGAAACCTTAAAAAATATAGCTTTTTGCAATCATTTGTTTAATGAAATGTGTAAGGTTCCGGCGTTCTATTTCAAATACCTGTTGCATGCAAAATGCAAGACCTCTCGTTAGGAGATGATATAAGATGATATAATAACTATGCATCGTGTGAACATACAAGGCCTGTGCTTACATAAAACAGATACCCCTTATCTAAGGTCTGAGGTGTCTTTTTAAAATATTATTTTACTGCTTGACATAAAGTGATAACTTATACACATATGTATATATTAAGGACGTGAAAACATTTAAATAATGTGCCAATTGTTGTTTACTTATGTATATGGTGTGCAAACATTTTAGTACATTTGTATTTGATAAATATTATAACAATATTTTTCTAACATAAATTTGTCTTTATAACCGTGCCAAGAATGAAACTTCAAGGATCTTGTTTTTTTTCATTTCGTGACTGATGATACATAAGAAATATAGTCTACAACAGTCATGTATAATATCAGTGAAAATATCACGTACACAATATGTGCTTCACAATAAGAAACCATTGTTGTTCACAATCTTTAACTCTCATGCCCGTATAACAAATAGAATTTAGCACTAATCACGTGTCAATTCATGCACACGTTAATCATCAAAACTGACCCGACACAGGACCGTGCCGCATTTTTATCAACCCGGCCTTAAGTCCCACTACAATTTTGATTTTTAACATTTTTTTCGAGTCGGTACACATGTAGATGAAAATAACGTCCTCCCGTGTGTATGAAGAACGACAACTCACTGTCGCAACAGTTCGCGGTAAATTGTTGTTGTCTCCCTTGCATTAATATCACTGAATGGTCCTGCCAAAACAAATATAATAATCTCGGAAAAAATATCACATCCGTTCTCTATAGCTTCCCGTTTCTAACTCCAAAGTCACCCTGTATACCCGGATTTCAATAGAGGCAGGATACAACTGACACACATTGATACGATGTAACACGGAGTATTACCGGCATCGGTGAACACGGACCATTTCTGAACACGTTTTACACTTGACGTAACAACACCAATAATATTTACATTCACATCGTCTAACAATTTCAACGTCTCTCGAATCATAGCCCCGCCCACAGCACATAATATCACAACCTCCGGGCCCGTGACTTTCCGGATCACATGACCTGAAAAGAAAAATTATGATGTCATAACATATCTTAAAGATGCCATACTTAAAACTGTGCATTAAATTTTTAAAAACTATTGAACATTTCTAAAGTAAATAATGTTATTCTGGTAACAATAAATATTTGCTTCCTCTTTTTTATTTCATTATATGCAAAAAAAATCCCACAAAAGCGGGAAACATCGAGAAACATTAGCAGACTTGTAACATACATAAATTTATACATAAATAGAATCACATAACATGATGGAAAACGGCTATTGAGATTTGCACACATTCAGATTGCATGTGAAAACTATCTGGAAACTTAACGGTCAGATTATATCTAAATCATTAACAAAAACGTTAACAATGTGAGATAACTAAGAACAATATAGTACAAGAATCATCAACCAATGCATGGATACATACCTTCCTTGCGTTCCTATAGAACCCATTTTTCTATCTGGCGAACAATAGTCCGGCGACTTTTGAATATAAACTAATTCTTCTTCGGGAATTTTGTCAACTTTCTTGTTTATTGGTGAAAACATGTGCTTTCCTTTCTTGCGCTTCCTCTTCACTTCTATTGCCATTCCGTATTTGTCTTTAAGGGTTTCGGCAATTTTATTAAAGTCTGCTAGGGAACGCCAGCATGTTTTGATAGAACATGATCCGGAAACACCGTGACATTTACACGCCGTCGTCAAACTTTCGACAACAACCTGAAACGGAAGCGGAAATGATTGAAATTCAAAGAATGATAACTCGGACGGACAGTTTCAACAAATGATACGTGAAAGTTATCCTATGTGATACAATGCCTGACATCTGCGTTATTGTATTTAGCTAGCGTACTGACAGACGAAAAATTCATATACATGTATATAATATTTGTATATACGTTGTTCACTAAAATTTATATGAATGATATTGATATCTAAAAGAAGCGTTTGTCAAAACAATCCAATTATGTTTGGTGACAAATGGAATATTTGTTATTGATTTATGATGCTGTTTTGTGTGTGTTTTTCTATATATGTTTTGAAGGCCACATTTAAAATCAAGATATATGTTCTTTGTTTTTACGATGGTATATCTTCATGAGTTACCTTCTTAAGAAAAAGATATTATTACTATTATTGCATTGTTGGCGACGCCGGTGAGCGGCGTCGTCTTTTATGGAATGCTTTTTATTTTGGCCTATGGAAGGAGCTGTTATTATTAGCAGTTAATTTCATGTTGTGTTATATTATTGTTGTTATTATTATTATTACATGTGTTGTTGTTGTTGTTATAATTATTTTCATCATTAATATTGATATTATTATATTAGGTACATAGTACCGAAGTTGTATTAAAAAAGGCTACTGACAGCAAAAAGTATAAACTAACGTTCAAGAGCATTAGATTAAAAACTTAATCACTTAAATTTATTTCTGAAATATGTACCTGTTTTTAACAAGACAGGAGTGGATTGAATGGGAAAATTATCAAGCAAAATATATGTATTGATAGAAGCCTTCAGATCTTTAAGATTTTGAAAATCATAACTTGGCGTCTGGGGGAAAGTAATAATGTGTTTCACTGTACTGCTAAGCAATCTGCACCGCGATAATGTATTTAGTAATGTTTTAAAATAATTCATTTTTTTCTTATAGACCTAAAATTATCATTTCTGAACCAGCGTGGAATATGAGTGTTTTCCGCCTTCCTCTTTGATGCCCGCTTTTCCATATGATGTTTCAAAGCATTATGCATCATACCTTATCATACCTTATATAATAATCATATTGTGCAAAAGTATTAAACCATAAATAAAACAGTTATATGTCTTCTCCTTCAAATTAATCACAAGTTTTCCACAAAGATAAAGGCTCGATGCAAGAGGAAACCCCGTCGAGTAAACAATAATGTTGACATGAAAGTCAAAATATCTCCTGTATAACTATCCCACTTTAATTACAATAAAAAAAACACATCACAAATGCCACACATCATCATCCGACAGGCACCGTTTACCCGTGCAGCACGTGTGTGTTTGTGTCAGGTTTTTATGTTCCCGTGCTTTCACATCTAATAACCACCATACGCCACTCAAAGCTCGGTTTACAAGGATTTTATGGCGTGCCTTTAGCTTTTAACTCCACGAAGATGAATTGTTTTAATTGTAAGGCATGTAATTGGGCTTAGTTATTACGCCTGTAAAATCGTAATGAGCACCGTCTTTGGAAGCGATTCAAAAGAAGTTTTCTGTTGAGGAAAAGATAAACAAAAGAAAAATATTAACCACAACTGAAAAGGTATGTCCATTTCCATCAGTGTGTACACATGTTTTAGATTTTTTTTAGAGGTAATGTGCATGAATATCCTTGATTCTACATATAATTTTGATATTTGTTTGTATACTAATTTTCCCAGAATATGCCAGGAATGGGATCGGGGCGTAATACATGTATAGCTATCGGCGAATGCATCTGCACTCATCGAATTGTTTAAAAGCTGCAGATGAGCAGAACATATTTCAATAAAATCAAACCTCAGATTTTATGAGATGTAAAAAGATTCAAAATTTAAATAATAATTTACATGTTATTTGCGATAAATTATTGAATTTTCAGTTTTTATAACCATATTTCTATTGCGTTACTAACGCATTAAAGGTTATTTTGGAATATTTTGACCTCATTTTCTAAAGTGCTTCTTTACAAGAATTTCTTGTAAATAAATTTTCACAATTTTCATGAATCTGAAGGCGTGCTGCTTTAATATTTTCTCATGAAAACAAATTATAATAACGAAGCATATTTTTCATTAAAACACATTGTAATAACGAAGAACTTTATACTTATTAAAACAAAATGTAATAACGAAGTATTTTGTGCTCGAAGTATTTTATGTTCATTAAAACAACATGTAATAACGAAGAACTGTATGCTCATACCAAATTTATTTATTATTTTTTATTTATTTATTTATTTATTTATTTATTTATTTATTTATTTATTTATTTATTTATTTATTTATTTATTTATCTATCTATTCTAAGCAAAGGCTTTAGAGTGATCGCACTACTAACCTAAGATTAAGCAAAGCATTTGTAAAAGGCCCATTATGCCTCAAAAATACGTTTTACTGCTTTAATCAATGGAGAATAATTAAGACTCCTTTCTTCAGGTGATATGCATGTAATATGCTATTAAACCATTAAGGCAAAATGGGTCTTTAACATTTGATCACTAATTCGCTTAATTGATGGATGCTACGAAAAGGCATAATTATCAAAATATGTTTCGATAAAACATCGTATCTTTATATAATATTATCACTATTCAAAGATCATTTAAAATCTTCTTCGATGACTTTTTTTCTGTTTTCCTTGGCTATATCAAAATCTTGTTCTACGTCATAGTGAAATTGTAGAAGATTTGCAGACGAACAATTAGCGCGGTATAATTCAACAAAACTAGACATAGGTAAAATAGTTCGTGGTAATTTTTTTCTAAAACAAAAACATAAATTGACATAACTTAGCTTTCACCATCAGATGGGGGGGAAGAACAAATTATATTCTTACATCGTGTAGGAAAAAAATGCTTTTAGATGCATTCTGTCCTTAATTTTATGTTATATTAGTTCTTGAAAACTGGAAATTTGTATAAAATGTTTATGCGGTTTTATGACTTTAACATGTTATCTTTTTATTTTAAGTGGAAATGAGATAAAAGTTGCACGAGCTATACAAAAAGCAAGGAGAATAAGTTGTCATTAAATATGAAACAAAAATTAATGTGCATTTGTATTTCAGAAATAAAATGCCGCAGATTTTAAATACTGAAACATTTTTATTTTGAAAGTTAAATTTCTTCGCAAATGCTTATCTTTCCAGACTTGCAAACTATGCAGAAATAGTAATTTGAATCGAAAATTAAGTACAGAATTTCAGAACAGTGAACTCTTGAAATTTAAAGTTGCCCAGACGACATGAGGGCAGAAAAAAACCTGTTTGATCTCTTTGTTTTAACAACTGTTATTTGGATGGGCATTACTAAGACATCGTTTTTATCAATATCACGTATGAAATACATCTAAACTTGTTCTTAATTAAGATGAACCTGACATTTTTTCTGAATGTGTTAAAGTGGCTTCTTCGCTTAGATAAAATGGCTGCCAAACCGGAAGTGAAAGGGAATAGAACGCAGATAAAACCGGAAGTGATCTCTGACATCATCGTTAGATTATTTCTCACACTCAGACAGGTGGTATCATTTTCCGCTTAATTTCTCCGCTACAATGCAACAAAATAACTAGAAGATATTTTAGGCAATGCGTTTTTTTCTCTCATTACACGGAGTCAGTTTTCATGGATTTGGGTCGAAACAATTGGCACAATAATCATAGACATTTCTGATCTGTTCCAAAGAATAGAAAGTTTTACACTTTTGTTTCTGATTCAAAATAAACTTTTTACGGCGTCTTATCGTAAACTTAATTCGAAACGAGAAAAATATAGAAAGAAATTTCATGTTAAAATTTCGGTCGAGGTATATCAAATTTAAAGTTGAAACTTTGATGTACACCTGATGCAACCTTTGAATTAAAGTCTAAAAATAGGAAATATTTTCTCATGCTAACGTGTTAAGTGCACAGTTATAAGTAAAAATGTTATCATTTGAAGTTTATCTAAACATGATTCAATTCCATTCTGTTTAGATGCTTTAATATAGATTTGACAGCAATGCATTTACGGAATATACAGAAGAATACCGGAAATAGAAAAATCACGTGACTTACCTTATTACCAGCGGCTATATTATGGCTATTCATCATGGTTTTCTTTCTTTTAGAATTTTTTAATGTATGAAACGAGGTAAATTGTTCACTGAATCTAAGTCCATAATCTACATCGTCCCCGCAGCCGCCCCATTTGTATTCTCCTGTCGGGGCCTCATTTGGTAACGCCCCGCACGAGCATTTTGTTGTTATACCGACACTACAGGCACGTGCTATTGAATGCATTAAAGTTGCTGAGGCAATTGCATATACAAAAGCTTGTTCCCGGGTGCCTGAAAAAAGTTTGATATTTAGTATTATCATGGAATAAAATAAAAATAAAAATATTTCATGAAAACATATACAATTTAGAGTATTTCGTTATCGACCCGTAGAATTTTCGGCCCCAGATATATTTTCGAATAAATTCGAAAAATGACTCATTTTTTTATAAAAGGACTGTTGTGATATTTGAAAAACGGGCCGATTTATCCTCTGCCAATATTAGCATAGGGTTGATTTTTAAAGTCGAAATGTCTTGCAACTCTAAGCAATTCAGAATGTTAAAACATCTTTTTTTTTAAAAAAATCCTGTACTTATTTTTAACAGAAAAACATGTTGGCTTTGCTATGTTATATCTGTTATTCTTAGACATTTAGTTTTAAATTTTGCGTTGCACGGTGCTAGGGGGCGTGGACGGTACCAAGTACTTACCAGTACCGTCCATTAACAGATCCAATATAACCGAGTCTACAACATTTTTAGGGTTTTTTTACGTTTTTGGACGTCCTTTAGAAGTTTTTATTATCTCTATCCCTATGTAAAACATGACACACTTTAAAACATGTAGATTTACTTATGTAAAGACATGTTATTCTTCAAAACATGTAGATTTAGTTATGTAAAGACATGTTATTCTTCAAAACATGTTGATTTAGTTTGTAAAGACATGTTATTCTTCAAAACATGTAGATTTAGTTATGTAAAGACATGTTATTCTTCAAAACATGTAGATTTAGTTATGTAAAGACATGTTATTCTTCAAAACATGTAGATTTAATTATGTAAAGACATGTTATTCTTCAAAACATGTAGATTTAGTTATGTAAAGACATGTTATTCTTCAAAACATGTAGACTTTATTATGTAAAAACATGCTATTCTTCAAAACATGTAGACTTTACTATGTAAAACATGTCCTTCTTGAAAACCGGTAGACTTGTCATGTAAAAACATGTTATTCTTCAAAACATGCAGATTAAGTTACGTTAAAACATGTTATTCTATAGAAAAATGTAGACTTCATTATAAAAAAAACATGTTATTCTTGCAAAACGATTTAAATATTCATTGATATAAAGGAATATAAATTTCCTTTATTCAGTATTATAGAATAAATTTCTTTTACCAAAACGTCTTTTATTTTTCATTTTACTTTAAAAAGTAATTCTACACTTTTTTGAGCGGTGAGGGGGTGTACATTTTATTACAGAAATTAATATATTATATACTTCAATAAAACCTAAGACATGATTCCCACCCTGTTGGCAAACGTTTTTTCGTATTCATTATTTATCAAACTATGCATTTTAACACACATACTGCACAGATATAAAATAATAAATCATAAATGATAGGTTAAGATATAGGATATCAACAAAAATAATGCATAACAGCGTAATCCCTTGCACCGTGGGCTACTTTAATAAATAGATGATTTAAACGAAGCTTGGGGGTCATGTAATTAACTTTTGATTTATGTTAAATTGGATGAAATTAAAGCACTTAAGGTGTATGCTTTATACCGTAATCCAGTACGGGGTTAAGTACGGGTGGTCGACGGAGTTTCTTCTTACCGAAGACGATGAAGATAAAATCAAAATTGTGTAGTCGTTAATGTTTTAATGTAATAAACATGTTTTCGGTCATTATCCGGAATTAACTCGTTGGATTCTCCAAGAAATATATACGTTACGTTCTCGGCCAAGAACTAACACGTTGTCCACTACTGTTTTAACAGAGAAAGCATATATTTAGCTTATTGGACTTTCTTTAATTTATTTATATATATGTTGTTTTTTTTTGTTGTTTTTAAATTGTGTTAATTAGAATGGTCCTTAGTGTTGCAAGACGTTAACTTATTATTTACAATAATATGAATGGACTTTGGTGTATGGTCATTTTAAACCATTGAAACCAAAAATGACGACTGTTTGTATCGGTATTCCAAATGATTTCAGAGATGATTTATTGTGAAATAAAAAAAAATCTGTAGCTTAAAATTATTAGATTCTATGTTAAAAAAGGACCACCAGGGATCAAGTGTGCCAAATTAACAACACTTTAAAGTAAATAACTTCATACGTAAAGTAGAAAGACTAGTAAGTATAAAGATATTACACACGCCACCCTTTAAATCCCGAATGATAAAGTAGACCTCATATTCTTTCTAATTTTTCATTGAATTTAATAAATCGTGAAATTATAACAGCGTTTTGCATATAAATCATAAAAAGTATTAACATCAAAGCCGACATAAAGCCATGCTCTTCGGGTAATCTGCGCACAGCCAGGCTTTATCCGGGCCATAAAATAATCTTAATTGGTAATCTGGAAAAAGAATAGAGGAGAATTAGACGCGGTTCCGTCATTAACCGTCGGGAACCTGCAAGGCATCAATTTTCAGCCGCACGAGATTTAAATAAAAGTTAGGTAGTTAAAAGATCGCGTACTAAGATACCTTTTTTTGAAATTCTTTGAATGCACGAGCTGTTTGCACGTTATTCTCAATTTTTAAGACGCCCACAGCCCTATGTTCCTAAAGAACAGAAAGTTTTTAACAGTACACTACAAGCGTAACGGGTACATCAAAGTTTTTTAATGTTGAGTAGGAACAATTGGGCCTTTTTGTAACATCTAAGAAAGGCATTTTATTTGTTGTAAGCTTATTAAATGTAAATACATCCATTCTTTCGTACAGCTTTTATGTATATACGATTAATTAAAGTGAGAATTTAATGGCAAGGCCATTTGTTTATATTTTGTTTCATATAATTATTTTAGCTAAATTGCGGCATATGTTCTTATAACTGAAATATCATGTGTGAATCACTTCGAAACCTGCTTCGTGTAGTGATTTCATTTTCCAAAGCATTGTCGTGACCTTATTAGGGATGAACCCCAAACCAGCAACCTAAACCTCTACATTTACTTCCTCTTCAACAGCCAAACCTTTCCCGACTCGTTTGTATGGTGGCAAAAGCCATCGTATTTAGATATCTTCTTTTACAAAGATTCTATTGCAGTGTCAAAAAAGTCCGTCTTTTGATTTTGATAATTACCCATGCACATGCGCAATTGATTTGCTCTGAAAACGAGGCTCTGCTTTTGTTAGAGGTTTGTATGTGATAAAATAAGGCTCATTTGTTACTTAATTTATATACATACCTCTTTTCAAATCTTTTGTCAATTGAGGCGCAGATGTTATGGAAGAACAATTCCACCGCCTATCCATAAACTGTTTTTGGCAAGCATCTATTCCTTTATATGACGCGAGAGACACTGTGCTCATAAGATCTAAATGTTGCTGACATATTTTCAGCTGTTCCGCCGACAGGCCGTACGACTTCTTGCAATCTTTCGAATTCGTCCATGATTTCTGTCGGTTTTCATACAATGCTCTGAAAAATATAAATTTACAATATGATGAAAAATATAAATTTTCAATATGATGATTATGGTTTATTATTTGGAATATTTATATTGGATTGAACTCACTTGCAGTGTTGGAGCAGTACCTCTAGACGCTTGGCTTAAATTATGATCACAAAGAAGAAAAATATCGCTTATTTCGTCGATTCTTATATATTTCATTCATGATCGTATATAAATCGGTGTGAGAGGATGAATTTGTTATCTTATAAATGCATTTCAGCCTGTGAAAGGGCGAGAATTTAAATTTAATCATTCATGGGGCGCCTGTCCGGAATGTACCGGAATACGGCATAAAGTTTGTTGCTCTAACACTGTAAATAACTAAATATTTTCACTCATTTATATTTAGAGCATAGGGCCAACTGTTAATGTAAGTGCAGACATTTGAATATTTGCACAAACAGACGGGGTTATGTTCCGTTATTACATGAAATGCATTTTAAATTGATTGTAAATATGTGAAATGAAGACGTTTTGTCTATCTGGTGAAAATAAAACATAAATATTGAATAATGGCTTAAATATTGTTTCGTCGGCATCTATTTGAAATGTGCTGCAATGCGCAATTTTATATCCGAGTTGCATAACTCGATCATTCATTCTGATAACTGAAAATTAGTTTCAAAAAAAAATTAATGCGACCTATCTTCTGTCTATGAAATTCAAAATCCTTTACAAAAAATTGATTTTAAACCATAAAAAGAATTTAGTTAATCGAGTTTGATTACTGTCGGACTTAAATAATAAAATATGAGATGGTAAATATATGTCATTTTCATATCGGGTGAACTAATGCAGACAGCCAATATATCTCAATTATTTATCATTCGATTCTCTCTTATAAAATTAATGGCGGATCATTTCGCGTTATTCTGGTGTTTTTATTGGTCCATTTCTTCCTGACTAACATTGAGATATTACAGATTATATAAGAAACATTTTTACCTTCGTATTATTTTTTTGTTACAAATTTTTGGGAGATAAAAAACCGGGTAAAATATTAGGCATAAACTCACTAAAAGATAGTTTCAGATTTAATTATGTTGAAATGTGTCTAGCAATCGTAGGGAAGGACATACAGTTTACCTATAAAATTTCCCAGATACCTCGTAAAACTCTTTTAATAAACCCTGTTAGCTTTTATGAGAAGCTTGTTAGAACAGAAAACTATCAGCACGATTTTACCAACTTTATTTCACATTGCTCAAAGTATCGGGCCTATAACTGGTGGCTATTTTCACGTGCATATCCTTTTTAGTATTTTTTTCACGGTTAATGACCACTAAAAATATCGTTTTTTGAATGGCACTGGTTAAAAAATATTACGGCGCTGTACTGTATGCCGATAAAGATATGAGTGACAAAATTATTTTTTATTTTTTCCTACAAAAACAAACAGCTAGTTAAAACAAATTAATCGAGTGATGAAATATTTTTTGCATCTTGTATTCAACTTCCTGTACAAACCAGTCGTCATGTCATGAAACATGGTCGTGATGCGTGTTAGGCTCGAATCCAAACCAACAAGTTGAGAGGCTGGCATCTTAACAACAAGGTCATCTACTAGTATCCCTTTAAAAACGCTTAAATGATTTATATATTTATTCCTATAACTATAATATTTTGTTTTAATTCTAAATCAAAAATCATATTCATTGAATGCGAAATAAATTGCTTGCGTATACACTTCACATATCGAAAGTAAAATACAGCCAAAAATAGAAATTGAATAAAAAAAGATATAAATCATATCAAGTGAAAGGTATAGTTTATCAGGGCTTATCAGTCGATGGTGGTTTGGTTTGCAGTAATAAAATATCTTCGACCGTTCTCTCTGCAAGATGGTCAGATATCCTCATTAACTTGCAATAAAACGCAATCTCGTGTGATAAAAGGTATACGGTAAAAATTTTAGATGCAGAATTCACAGCTGCAGCATATGGTTAGTGTAAGGTTGTCATTTATTCTTGTTCTTGTAGATAAATACAAAAACATCATTTTGCCAAGGGTTATAAACATTTAAAACACATCACTTCAGGGAAATGTTAAACTTTTGGTTTTTTGGTTGTCTCTACATTTCATGAAACTTTCTCTGGTTTTCTTATTTCGAAAAAAGTAGTATTTAATGAAAAAAAAATCTGAGCTGTATTTTTATCAAATCAACTGTAGTTATTTATTAATAAAACACTTTTAATCTGCATTCTACACTTGAACATGTCTGTAAAGACACCCCCATCTCTACCCAACCCCCCTCCCCCCAAAAAAGCAATGTGGTGGCTTTTGTTAAAAAGTGACTTTAATTAAAGTTTCAAGTATGCTTATGGATAAACGTCCATGGTCTTAACTAAAATCAAAAGAGGTCGTTGTCCTTGAGTGGTCCGTACCACAGGTTCTACTGTAATCCAGCTGTACACTAACCAGACAGCGTTCAATTCTTACCTGAACTACGGATTTTTTTATTCATCAAATAAACACTTGAATGATTCAATACCATAATCTGACATCATGCTGTTTTACAAACTAACTTGGAATTACATTAGATTGAAATCTGTAGAGAAAAGCATCATTTCTCTTCAAATATAATCGCGATAAACCATTATTCAAAATCTAATTCGAAAAGGCAACTGTTGATGGATTTGAAGGGGTTTTGGGAATATTCTTATATACTTAGCTCTGACTTGAAAATGTCTGAAAATCAATTTGAAACAGGCAGATACTAACGTATGTATAAGAATACTCTTATAACAGAGTTACCTGCCAAAATAAAAACGATCCAAAGAAAGTGTGAAAGTGTAGGAAGAAAAAGGCGGGGGCATGGAGAAAAAGAGGGGTCTACTGAAAATAAAGAGAAATTAGATTAAAAAAAAATACCATAAAATTTGCATAATTATATCAAAATGAAGGGTAAGGAATATGTTTTATTATTTGCATTATAAAGATACAAACGTGTTGCCACGTTGGTACAAAAAAACATTAAGTCCTCCAACGAAAACAAATTGCTATTTGTTGTTGGTTTTGTGGCTGTTCTCTTTTTTGTTAATATCAAAATAAAAGAGAAAACGGTATAATAATAATGCATTTGTTCTTGTAATGTTTTTCATGTTTGTTATAAAGAAAAATTTGACAGTCGTCGGAAATGCCCATATATGATATTAAAAATATATTAAAGGGAATAAACGAACGGATTTCATGTAAGGGAGGCAATCCTTCACATCGGAGTTTAATTCAAGGGGGACAATCCTATATGAAAAGATAAAATTAACACGAAGTACCCGTATATCACAATACCTTTTGAAATGTTACATATTCCTAAGTTATGCAGAAACAGGCACATTTTTATATGTTTTGTTTTGTTTTGATAACTTGTCCTCCAACTTTTACAAAGCGTATCATTCCATCATTTTTACTTTGATATTTTGCGGTAACTGTGACTATCCATAATGTTTTTGCAATAGCTGTACAAAAAATGTACTTGTATAGATATGCAATCACTTCATTAAATCATTTAATTTATTATGTCATTCTAAACACGTTCTCGTATACCAAGACTAGTTAAAATACTTAATCCTTAATACTTATCCTAAAAGTTTTCTGATGTAAGTACGGTCATTCTCAATAGAGAAAACGTGGTGGAGAAACTGTGGTGGGGAAATTGTGGTGGAGACAATCTGGTGGATTGAAACTGGTGGGAGAATAAGCTAATGGAGATAATCTGTTGGAGTGGATCTGGTTGAAAAATCATCCTGGTGGAGACAATCTAGTGAGGGATAAAAACTGGTGAAGACAATTTCATGGAGTACATTTGGTGGAGACAATCTTTTAAGAAAAATCTGGTAAAAAAAGCAACAACATATTGCAGAAAATATGGCGGAGAAAATCGACACTGGCGTTAAGAACGCTATATCTCCACTATGTTGAATATGACAATCTTATCTCTATTTTGAGTAACTCAAACATCAAATAATTGTATACAGTCGAATTTGAATTGAAGGTCAAATTCTTCTTTGGATAACATTGCATATTTCAACGTTTTTTTTTTCAACAATTTACACTGATGGTACGATTTATTTACATTTTGTTTCCAATTAAATAAAACTTGTGAGAAATTCAATTTGTTTTGAATCGGGTGCAAGCTGGGCATTTGTTCATTTTTTGTAATTTTTTCTAAATGTTGATCAAATATCAAACATGAAGATTTACAATGTTTCATATAAGGGTACTTACATTCAATGATAATATACTGCAGTTGTAAACATCAAAGGCATGCCGCTTTAGAAGAGGTGTACTCGTGAGCTAATAAGCTAGGTGTACAAATACAGGTGAGGGTTTTCAATTTCAACTTAGACTTTTTTAAAATGAATAAGAAATTGACATGATGGGTTAAAGGGGACAGTATTCAGTTTCCTTCAGGAATGCAATGGGATAAAACGTCGCTGGCGGGATGTGTGTCTATGCGAATTGAAACATTACAGAAACATTTTTTACTAAATCCATGTACTCATGTACACATTAATCTGCAGGCTCTTGAATATTACATGTAGTATTTTTGTACGGACCAGAGAAACGGTCCTACTTTAAACCATTGTTTTTTGGAATTTTTTTTGAAATGTTTTTGTAAAGGGCCAAATGCCTTTAAAAATCGTTTTATCCACGACGAACATATTTGTCATTCATGAAAGAAAGTGCGGGTAAATGTATAAAATACTCGCATATAATTATAAGCTATTGCCCACAAAAAGCAATAAAATTGATTACAAATAAAGCTGACAGGGTCTTACGTCATTCTATTAAATGAAATAACGATTAATACGCGCTTATTTAGAATTATATTTAGAATTATCTTAAAGAAAATTTTAAAAAATGATCATCTAGGAACAAAGTAATTTCATGAGATGATATACAGTTCGCATATAATATAATGAAAACACCTTTCCTTATTTACTAAATCTTTCTGATAAATACATAA